ATTGATGTATCTTTTGTACCTCGTACGATTACGTCGTTCGTCCACTTTTTATATGAATAGGTATCGTACAAAAACATACTGGTCGTACTACTTGAGGGCGTGAACCGAATACGTTTTTGTCCATTAAAAAAATCAATGTTTCGGTGATATACGAATATGATTTTGTATTTTGTGTGTGTTATTTGAAATGAAAAGNAAAATCGAAATATCCATTTTGTAAATCCAATTTTTAGAAATACGTTGGCGTCAAAATTTTTTACTAAGGTTGAGTTAAATTCTACCAGAAATGGTGCTCAGACTTATACGCGTGGCATAATTTCTAAAAGGGAATGTTGACCAGATGGTACTTTTGGGAGGTCATTTTTTGACGTTCCAAGTGGTTTACATAACATCTGGGAAAAACCACGATAAAATGTAAGAATTAAGGTGAATTTACAAAAGTAGTGCCTTTATTATTTTTTCAATTTTGTATTTTGTTGTAATTCAGTTAAAAATATTAGTAGATACTTGAAATTCCAAAAGAATATAGAAAACTTATATGTGCCTTTTCTAGATGTGGTAAAATGTTCACACTTAACAAAAATACGTTACTATTTACCAGTAGGTTCATTAGAATCTTACTTTGTGATAAAAAAAAAAAAAGTTGAGTCAAATATAGTATTTTTTTTTTTTTATAAAAGAATTTAAGTATCAAATTTTGATGAAAATCGTTTGAGTAAAAAGTTACGTAGAACAAATCTAATTTTCAATTTTTTTTTTTTTTTCGAACATATTTATATTGCCGATTTAAGAACGATGGCGAAATCAGAATTGAGCGAACTGACTATGTTTCGAAATTATAGATTTTTGAAGTTCTGATATTATACGAATATTATATTAAGTTTATTAAATAACTCTTCTATATTATCTTTCTTAGAGTATGTTTGTCGTAGCCTAATGGTTATACATGTCTATTGTGATCCTTGAGTTCACGAGTTCAAACCGGTGTTTTGAAAAAAATAGTTTGCACTTATTTTTTCTCTTTTTCCTAAACAGGGAAAAACAAATGCATTTTAGATGTACCTATAGACTCAACTATCGCTCGTCCAGATTATTTTAACCACAAATGCCCCTTGATTTGTTATACACGCTTTTCTACCAGAAATTTTATTCTAATGTATTAAGTGTTGCTTATTTTCTAAAAGGAAATTGTATCTCCATAGTAATTTAGGGAAGACATTTTTGGGTTTTTCAATTGGTTTTAATAATTTCTGGGAGAAACCGGGATAAAATATCGGAGAAACGGAAGATGAATGAAATGTAGGTATTAGTAAGAAAATATTATGGCCTTTATTTTTCTGCGTATAACTATTTTACCAGCAATTTTGCTCCGATTTACAATGATAACATTTTTTCCGAAAGGAAATCTGACTGGAAAGGTACTTTTTCGATTTTCCCAAGAGTTTTTCCAGCAAATTTGAAAAACCGGGAAAAACATGGGAAAAACCGGGAAATTCGGTACAAAATTGAACAAATATTATTAAAGAAAATATTGAATGCCTGTTTAATTATTTTACTTTAATATGACATTCATATTTTTGACAAAGCATCACTATCAATTGAACTGCACTCAGAATCGTTTTTTCATTAGCAATGGATTATCGTTGCTTATAAATAAATATTAAATTACCTATAACCGTGGCTGCACCTATCACCATTATCCTAGAACGTCTTTTTTTATATTATCATGTTTATTATGTTCCTATAGGACAACATTTTTCAAATTTTTCTATCATTTTCGGAATACCTAATAAAATATGTGGGGTACTATTTAAGATAAAAAGACGACTTGGCAGTTGACTTGTGCGCTGGTGTATCACATTGCTACACGTCAGACATACATATGGCTGACTTGTTAAGGAAAACAGTAAAGTGTGATATGACCACCTGTCTCACATAAACTGGTCACCATTAAGTGGTCTTCTTAATTCGATTATAGTAAATTATATAAAATTAATACCATTATATTTATAAATTCAATATATGAATGAATAAAATATAAAAATATTATTTAGAAAAAAATGGTTTACTGAAGGACATCTGTATTTAGATAGGTACAATAATATAAATATTTGTTTAATAAAATATAACTTTGTTTTTTATAATATACTCACGTTCTTTAGTTACTTGTAATTAATTTTTTTTTGCCGAAACGATTTTCATTTTAGGTGGCTTTTTTTTATTGTTTTTTTACTTAAATAGTAAGGTGAATTCGGCAAAATGGTAAGAGCTGCACCTGTTCTTAATACAGACTTATAAAGTTCATATATATATATATATACATATATATCGTTCCTTCAAAGCCTTTCCCTTTATAATACAGTTATCGATAAAATGCATTTCGCAAACGTGATCTTTTGCAGTTAGGCGCAAATCGCAAAATTTAAATTGCTGTTCTTCATTTATTTGGTCTGTTACCCCAGCCAACAGTTTGGTGTCGTCAAAGGTATTTTCCACTGAGTGGTCGCGGCATACGGGCCAACTCTGTCAGTTTTTATTGTAATAAGTATATTGTACCCACGGCTCCCGGCGTCTCGCCCTCAGTGGAAATATCTAACTGCGAGTTATTGCATACTATCACATAATATATATCTCTTACGTTAATATGCATTACCATAGTTTTAAGTATTATCATTATTATGAAGTTACCGTGATGTGTGATAGGATTACATTGTAAAATTAGTTAAATTATTGTTTTTTATTATACTGTTTATTGTTCAACTGTATCTTTGGCTACTAGTGCAAAGACAACAATCTCAAAATATTTACATTAACGAATGTCGTCTTTTATCATTAATTATACTATCAATATAGATAAGAAATTAATTTATCCAAATTTACGCTCTTTGTTTTTATTTTAATATTTAATATATGGGGCTGCGATGGCAGTAACGGACACATTATAAACAAAAATATAATAATAACCCTGGTATTTTATTCTCAGACAAAGATCTTTGCCTATTTTCAATTGTTCCTCTTTTTGTCAAGTGTATTTTCATTATTTTATAAATATTTTCTTTTATATTTTATTCTAGTACACTAATTACTTTTTTTATCTTTTTCTATATTGTTTACACGTCAAGAAGTAGTGATTCTTTTATACAATTTAAAAATATTTTTCCGCGTAAAAATATTTTTATACGTTTAGGATAAATTTTACCACGATGCAGGTGCTTTAAATGAAATAATAATAAATCATTTTATTTCACAGTAGGTGCCGCAGCCACATATACCTGAATGTACATTTTATTGTGAACGAGACACGCGGTAAGGGGCAAATTAGAAATTCTGGAATTTTCATAATGGGCTGTGAGCATTACCATTGATTGATTTATAATTAATAATTATATTAATTAATTTATATTATATTAATTAATAATTATTACAAAATAAACATGCTCAATTTATTACATAAATCATCTACATACAGGCGATCTTTGAGGCTATCATTTATACGAAGGAAAAATGTCTCAGAGTCTACAAAATTGAACAAAGTGGTACGCGAACCAATCCGCCAAGTATTGGTAAATATATATATATATATATATATAATTGTATCGTAATTCGTCAATTTCGGCACTTTTATTGTTTTACTTTTGTCTTATTATAAACCGGTAAATATTCACATTTACCGTTTTCCCGCTTCGAAACGTGTTTCCGATTTACTCCTGCCCCTTGTACACGACTCAAAATCATCCGTGATCCTTATAAATTGAAATAATATTACGTATCTATCTAAATAAGATTAAATAAAAATGTATTATAAATTCTAGCGGTACATTTTTTCTCTCGGCGAACGAATTCGGTTTTCGGATCGATTTTATACGATTAAGCGTCGATGATATTATTTTTTCGTTGGTTATATTATTCAAATTCAAAACATCCGATATAATTAAAGACTATCCATCATATATTACCAAACCATAAAATAAAGTCAGTATTGTCAGTGAATCGATTTTGTTCTTTATCGATTTTAATATCGGTATTGATTTTTTAACGGTTTTAATCGGTATTTAAAATCGATTTCGAAACCGGTCTCGAAATCTGCTAGAAATACCGATAATTGTTATAAATCATAAAGAAATCAATTTTATAAATCGACAATGAAACAATATAGCTAAGCCAATGCATATTTTGTGTGGTCTGGCGCTATTTGCGGTAGTCATTTTAGCTATTTAAATTGCTGCTTTGATTTAATTTTTAATGTTTCGCTTTACCAGCTATACACGCATCATCGATCATTTGAAGGAACGACTCGTTGGGAAAATGTCTGGTTATCGTTTTTCAATGTACGACTAATAAATTGATCTCCTATTTAGTTGCTATTTTCCTATTGATTTCATGAAACCCACAGACTTTTTTTTTTTTATACATTTGTTTCCTCTCTTCTTTTTCAGCGGAAAATGTGATCACCGTTCGTTCTTCTTCGCTGCCCCACAATCAATAATTTTTAGAATAAAACCGTTTTTCAAACAACTAATTGGAAAAGGTGGCTTTCGGTTTCTACGAAATCCGACACGCCACTGACCGAAATTCCGTTACGATCCGATAAAGTGTTTTGCGGCAGGCTGTATATTATCGTGCGTCCTGCGACCGTACACTGCTGGATGTTCGTTTCGACGCGGTCCCGGGTACCTGCGTATAAACGGTGTACGAAACTCGCGCGAAAATAATAACGCCGGCCATGTATCGTAATAATATCGTGTTGTGTTAACAAAGTTGACGGCCGCGGCGGGCAGCTGCGCGCCGAGACGTTTCCGATCGGGCGGACGGGAGGGGCGGGCGGTTGAGAGAGGGGTGCCCGTGCCGCGTGTCGGCGCCGCGGTCGTGCGCGGGGCGGCGACGGGGGAGGGGGGCCGGGACACGCCCGCGCGGCCGCCGATTGGTCGGGTCCGGGCCGCGGCGGCGAAACAACGCCGCGGAGGAGAGCCCCTCGGTCGCGGCGAGCAAAGGCGGCCGTCCGTCCCGTTACGCGTGTGCCACAAACTCTCGCGCGCCACTAGGATACTGGCGTGTTACACAGCGGTGAACGCGGTCGTCCGATTTTCGGCCAGTACCCCACGTCGCCGGCATTATCGCACAGGACCGCGCGATCGCAGCTAACCCGCAGTGACGTTATTGTCGGTTTATCGCCTATTGTACAACCGCGAGCGACTGCGGGCCGAACGATGCTCATGATGAACGATTTTGGGTCGATGGGCCCGAGCAACATGATGCCGCCGTCGTTCAACCCGGCGATGTGCCAGGGTCTATTCGAACACCAGATGCCCAAGCCTCGGCTCGCGTTCAAAATGCCCCGCGTCGTGCCCGACCAAAAGAACAAGTTCCAGACGGACGACCTGTTCAAACGGCTGAGCCGCGAGAGCGACGTGAGTACACGCGCGCGCATGGTGCCTATCGTTATACGAATAATGTTACGGTGTGCGTTTATGATCGGACGGTGCCCGGGTAAAAGGGAATAAGTCCGTTTGCGCAGTTTTTTTTTTTTTTTTGTTTTGTTTTTTTAACAAATATTCTCGTAGACGATTATAATTCGCATCGATTGGCGTTAAAAAAAAAAAAAAAAATTAACCATAAAATATACATGCAACAATACAATTCGTTTCGTTTTTTTGTAATGCCGATCCACGCGAATCGTAATAATCTACAAGAATATTTAAATCGTATAAATGAACTTATTCCTTTTTACGCGGGCGCCCGATTTATTCGGGACCGTCTGTTTATCGGCCGGCCGCGACGCGTCTTTGGAAATCTGGCGGTTTTCCCGGCGGACCGGTCCATAATGTTATCGCGAAAGCCGCGGCGGTTCACGGACGAAAAAAAAATTGTATCATTACAAACGTCCCCGAACGGAATCTAAAATCGAAAAAGAGCGAGGCGAATCGGCAAAACTCTTAACCTTTTTCTATTTTTTTTTTATTCTCCAGTTTTCACCAAAAATACACGTGTTCGGGTGGTTTCCCGAATCCGAAAATGTGGTTTTCCTGAAATTGGTCCGCTTGTGTGTCCGCGCAGTTTTATTCTCGTGCGTTTTCGCACTTGCCGTTCTGTTTAATCGTTTTGAGATCCGAAACATTTTTTCTTTTCACACACAAATACGCCGTAGAGAATTATGATCAGGTGTGCTTGGGTTAGAAATATGAATGCTGAATTAAATATCGACGCGCGATAATATTGGGCAACGATAGGTTTTTCGAAAATTGAAAAATACCTATGCGCCGCAAACGGATCTAAACACGCCCGCTACGAGATATTCGAAATTGATTAAATACTTATAAAATTGGTTAAATTTATTTTCTTGCTGAATTATTAAAGAACCGCGGGGACGGCGTAGATTGAAATTTAGTTTTACAATGATTTCGATTACTAATACGGCGATTTTGATTGACATCGCTGCGCGGGTCGTATTTGCAGTGCAATACTGGTTTTTTTTCATTTTTCTCGACACGGCATTCGACAATTCCGCATGTCCTCCGCACAAATGTAACTGCAAACAAGCCAGTGCGTGCATTTTCACTGTAAACCGGCGAACACGATTATAGTGTCGGTCGTGGATCAGCAGGGTTAATGCGATGTACATCGTTATTTCTCGGATCGGGCGACCCGAGGTACGCACGCGGGGACACGAAAACGATTTCACGACATTACATGCAGCTAACCTGATATGCCTCTGGTATATTTGTCGGGCCATAATGTCATGATCGCGGTATTTTAAAAATCTACGGCGGCACAGTAAAATTATACGAAATCGGCTGCACACCCACGGTCGCGGTCTCGGCGGTGTGACCGATCGCGAATTATTTTTCGTTTCGTGCCGAAACCGGCCGTGTTCGCCGTTCAACGGTCCGCGCATGTGACCTACCCACGCACCGGGGTTTCGGTTTGTTTCCCTCTCGTTTACAGCCGGACGCATTTCGTAGTTATTCGACATTGTTAATCGTACGAATACTACTAGTAAACGGTGTCGTATGATATAACCCACATACGATGTTATATTATAGAGATTTCTAGTTTATTTTATTTTATTTTTTTAATCCTAAACAATTTTTTTTACATCTCTATATAATATGGGTCTATTTTATATTATATTAATAATAACTGTAAAAACTGACCGAGTTATATTTTATTTCCTAACATTATTGTATGGTATATTATTAGAGTTTAGAAAAAAAAAATAATATGTACGACCTACAGATTTCAACGGCAGACCTGGTCAGAGGTCCGATAATATGTCGAGTCATTAATCACATAATAGCCGACTAAGACCATATGTGGTCCAGTGGTCCCACGTGACACTTCCACGCACTATATAGTCGTATCCCGAACATAATTTTACGACACCGACCGTATATTAGTGATACAGTTTTACTGCACGTTTTGAGTTTTCCTGTTGGCACGTGTGCGTAGTAATAATAATGATATTGCAGTGTTGAACTGTTATACACATGAAATAAACGGTCGACAAATATGTAGTTTTGGCGGTTCGGGGGAAAGAATAAAAGCGATTCTTGAAATTTAATACGTATTTAGCCGGTATCTACGTACAAAGTTGGAAAAGTCACTGAAAATGTCTGACTTGGGCAATTTACGTTATTATCGATACAATTAGATTTGAAATTTTTGTTTTTATAAATTTACAACATTTCCACTATAGTAGCAAAAATATTTGATAATTTGATACAAGGTTCGCCGTAAATCGGCCGTTCACTGTTCTACTGTAAAAATATCGAAAACCCTCAGTTACGATTTTCTTATAAATTTAAACAAATTTCGTATACATTTCAAATTTCGATGAAAATCATAAAAATCACGGCATAATGTCGCGTACTATTTTCCGATTTGTGTGAATGCAATTTTATTGACCCGGCCAAAAACGTTCCACAATTTTAGACGAAAACATACGGAAAAAATTGTAACTTTTATGTTTAGTTACAAATTAATAAAACTTTCAATTTAAGTTTATCAAAACGTGATTAACTGAATTTCGTTTCGCGTCGTTTTTCGTTAGCAATAATATTTTGTACAGACATTCTGTATACTACCTTTTCAACTTTCAACACAACATTCCTCTAAGCGACGATCATGTAAAAAGCATCAGTAATGTACTGATTGATTTTTTTTTTATGCTGCTATAACCGTAGAAACCTGGTAGTTCAAACTAAATTATTGAATCAAATTTATTGCAAACACTAGTAACGATCACTGATTTTTACTAAAGACTTTTTGTTCAAAATAATAATAATAATAATACTTATTAGTTATTAGTTTATAAAAAATAATAATAATAGTATAAATCATAAAGTTCATAAATCTTATGACTATCGATTTTTAAAAATAATAGATACCTATAACACTATCGAAAACCAAACAAATAATATTTCAGGTTTCCAAAACTACGCCCGTTAGTTATTATTAGCTATAGCCCCCCTTAGCCCCCATTGGTTACGTTTCTGCACGCATAGTAATATAATATATTTCTATAGTAGTTTATTGCAATACAGGGTGTCCCACGAAGATATACCTTTTGCAATATCGTCTGAGATAATAAAGATAATTAAATTCTCTATTTAAAAAAAAAAAAAAATCGAATTTGATTATCTTTATAATCTCCGGAGAGATTGCAGCGGACATATCTTCGCAGGACAACTCCTATGTACTTACAGCGTTAACGACTAAACCATAAGTAATACGCGAATTCGAACGGTTAATTAATTTCAACACAATACTAATTCAAATATACACATTTTCGTTTTAGGTGAGGTACACCAGCTACAGAGACAGACCGCACGAAGAGCGACAAAACCGTTTTCAAATGGGTTGTCGGGAAGGGCACGTAGACATTGTGAGTAGCAAAATCGATTCGCTATTATTATGTTAAAAGCAAATTTATCGTACTTTTATTATATACATACAGGCTTTCGCCACTACGGGAACTAATTTGCAACTCATGTTTACTCCGAATATGCCGTCGATGGCTTCTTATCATCATCACCAGCCTACAATTGGTTATTGTGATTTCGAAAAAGAACAAGGAATGGTAAGATTATAGTTTTCATTGCAGTTGTCGTTAGTTGTTATAATTATTTTTTAGTTAACGCGTTATTGTTCGCCAATAACGTCAACACTAAACCGCGGAAAAAATCGTATAATATAAATATAACTTCAAACGTATCCATCTCTGCAGTCTTGTCAAACAAAACCTCTAAAATATGCATGCACAAATTAATCATTATTTATCAGGGTTTTTGCACCGTGATTTCCGATTTGTATTTTAAAGTGGTTCTCGCTAAAATAATACAATGCCGTCGAGTATTGACAAAATTAATGTTATAGTTGTTAATACGCGTTGCCCCGTGTGAATTCGGGAAAAAAAAAGGTTTACTTATTTCCGCACGCGTATACTTTAACAATAATAACACCTAGATCATATTATGAAAAAATAAAGTATACAATTACAAAATGTGAGATTCGGTACTCGATCCAAGCGTCGCGACCGAATACGATGTTCACGTTGATTATTATTTTTAAAACGTAATAATGTGGCGCCCTTCGTTATGTTATTATCGCGTAACATACTAATCATAATCCAAATTTGTATACAAAATATTATTACAATTGTTGATGTTATAATATTGGAACACCGACTATGGAATATCAATAAAATGTTGTTTTGTGAGTTGGTTAATGCATCGTGTTTGTATTACTTCTATTATCCGCAGTATTTTAAATAACGTAAATTGAGTTGATTAATGATTTGTACAAGAGAAACGTCCGAATGTAAACCATCCGAACATTAATAGAGATTTAGTAGGGATGATAATCCGTTTGACTTTTTAATTTTTACAAATTCTATAGTTTTGTACATTTGCATTTGATAATCATTAGCAGTATGTTATATGATACACACCTATTAATTATTTAAAATAAAAGGTAGTTACTAGAGTATTTAGAAAACGCGCGCGCGAATAAATAATATTCGTACATTCATTATGAGAATAACGGAAAGATTTTCATTTTATATTTTTTTAAAATTCCGTTCGTTATTACAATAATAAAATATACATATATATATATATATATGTGTATCATTGAAACTCTGTAAACAAAATGGCGTCTTTTATAATCCCTCCCCTCTTCTCTATAATAACCCTCGTTTTCGAAAGCGTAGTGCGTATTGATCCGTTTTCCCCCTTTTCAAACTCTATACTACTGCGACAGTGCATTACAGTCTTTCGGCGAACTGTTCTTTCTATGCGAAAAAACAAATTAAATTAAACGAAATACAGAGCTCCGTCACTAGAATCGAATTTTTCCCCGGTTGACTTGACGCCGTTACAATATATATATTTTTTTTATATATAATTGATTTAAATTATGGTCGCCAACTTTGTATTATATTTTAGTCTGTATGGGTACTTAAAACCCTGCAATTTCTGTAAAAACATGAAACTTAACCATAAAAATAGCTGTGGAAGGGGTTGAGAGTCAAAACCCTAAAATTACATAATATCCTTAATACGTACACCATGCATATACAACATTTAACCCTCCGAAATTTAATTTGAGGGTAGGGTCTGTAAGTATGTAAAAAGCTAAATAAACACCCCCTCTCGCAACAACATGATTAAATTCTTATTAGAATTTAACCGAAATCGCACACTTCAAACCGCCTATAAAACAACTCTAATTTTCGAGTTTGAGCTAAATTGGTCCTGGGAGTGTTGCTAAAAGTGTCTAAAAATTGCAGGGGAAATATAAAAAAAACACAATATATGGGTAATTTATCAAGGAAAATTTTACAAAAACATAATTACTATCACATTATTTAAAATAAATTCATGACGTACTGATGATTTATTTTTACTATATTTTATTTCATATCATAGGTCTAGGTTTTTATAGGTAATAATATTTCATTTAATATATCATATACCTGTAGGTATACTAGCTATCTCGCATAGTGTTGACCGAACACAATTCAATCGAACAAAAAAAAAGAAAAAGAAAGACGATATTGAGGAAGATGACTCTAACAGATGCCACTGTTGTGTAGGTGTGAAGTTGAAGAGATGGGATACATAGAGTAATTTAATTGAAGTAAAATCAACAAAAAAACATTTTTCTTTCCTAAAATACCAACATTTCCGTTAGACACCGTTTAAGGGTTGAATCAGTGGCGTGTCCAGGAATTCACAATGGGAGGGGACATAGCGAATAAGAATCATGAATAAATCGTAAAATCGTATTCTCAACTCAACTCGATTAAATAGGAATTCACTTCTTTCGTAACCTGACTGTCATTTCGATATTAGATTACTGATATTTTTTTGTATTTTTAAGCCAATGGAGAAGGGGGGTATACGTATAACCATTAACATCCCCCTGCACGCCACTGGATTGAATTACAGAAATCCGGCTTCGCGGTGCACACGGACTCGTTCGTCCGGTTACTGTATAGAACAAACCTCAGACACAGACATTTCATGTTAATATAGTGACAAAGATATTTTCTATAAGATACCTAATAAGTAATGTTATTGCTGTTTCTATGAATTAAAAAAAAATGTTTACATTTTTCGAAGAAATCAGTGTTAATAAGCGTATATATGTTTGCAGTTTGATTGAATAATTAAATTTATATAAACGAACTGCAGCTAGTTTTTACGTTAGTGACATCCAGTGAAGCATGTATGCATTTTTGGGTGGATGGTTATGCTTATTATAATAATTTTCCGGCGAGGGGAATTTAATAGAATTCTATTTTTTTTCAAATTTTTTTTTACTACCCTTTTCTCTACAATAACTATAACTAAACTTTTACAAGTTAGAAACGCCGAGTGTATAGGCATATAAGTTGTCCAGCTTTGCTCGACCGTGTATTATTATATGCCTATAGTTATTACAATTATCGCAGCGCGTGTTATAGTATAACTACGTGTCGTGTAACTATACGGCTATACCCTCGACGTTATTACTATTGTTATACAGATGTATAATTGAAATTACCCGTGAAAAAGGTGTACCTACCTATACCTGGCCGTTTATAACATACGTTTCTTTTTATATACGCACGTTTTTGACAGGCCTGACAAATTCACTCTGAAGAGCTGACAATACAACATAATAATAATAATAGTACCCACCTATGCCTATACGCGGGGTTTCGATTTCAGATGTTTATACGTGTATACATCTTCTCATTTTTTTTTCCTACCCCCTCGTGATGCAGTACACTCCGGAGGCGGCTTAAGTGTACACTCGTATAAGTATTTATATACATATATACATACTTGTTATATTGTTGCGACGGACCCGGTGATGTTGCAGTATATAAAGCCATTTTTTTTTTTTTTTAGTCTACTGGACACCGTAAAAAACACATTTATGCGTGTGTAAAAAAAAAAAAAAAAAAAATGACCGTATTATATATAGCTGATGTACATAACTACGTATACCGATAGAATTTGCACGCTGCATTTAACATATGTTAAATCATTTTGTTTAGGTATGAAATATACCCTACTGATACATGAAAAAAAAAATTTTTTTTCAGAAGATTTACAATACAGCTAACTATTTCACGTATTCACGTATTTTTGCACGGCTAAAACATTTTTAATCCACATTAAACCATTTAAAATCTAAAAATACTCTAAATTATCAAATGCATAATATACATAACTCAAAAATCAGAATGATTTGATTATTTTACCATATCTGAAAAAGCTAATATGAGTGACGATAAAGCGTTGCAAACAAAAAACGATTCTAAGCGGGGTTTTCGGAAAAATTTTTTTTCAGTAAATTTTATTGATTCGTAACTACATAATAAATTAGACAGTTATTCATATTTTTAAAAAACTTTAACAGACATTCGAATTTAAAACACTGATAAAATTACAACGTTTTTGATCTACATAAAACAAAAAGTAAAAAAAAAAGATCTGATACTGGGGACAGATGCGGCCACTGTTATAGACGGGCAGTTGGAATACATACATTTATTTTATTTATTCCTGTAAGCAACGATAAACCATGGCTAATGAAAAACTAATCTGAGCTAAGTTTATAAGCAAATAAAAGCAATAATAAAAAAAAAACCATGCGTGTTTTCACAACGAATGTTTGAAAAAAAATGTAAAGATCAAAATAATAAAAACTTTATAATAACAAAAATAAATAAAAACGGTTGCCAATGACAACCTTAATAAGCTTTGAACAGATTTGAAAAGTAAAATATCGCAGTATAATTTATTTTCGAACTCAACGGTCGACAAATGAAATGACCGCCGTCGTAATCGTTGTACAGTACGTTAGGTATAGTTAAACGTTTCCCCTAATTATGTTTTATTATTATGTTAATATTAATATTCGATTACGCCTTTTCGGTCCGTTGGCAGCGGTCATTCGCCGATTATTAGTCGTGTCCGTCATGAAGTTCCGATTTACGTGCGAACGCGTGTGTTACGTAGGTAGGTACTGTTATTATTGTGATTATATTTTAACAATCGAAATACCGGTAAACAAGTATATGTACATGAAGAAAAAAAAAATCACATTCCCTCCGAAATCGCATTCATTCACACGCCCATCAGAAACGGTAACAATTCGATTAAAAAATACACGTCGCGCGCGGTGTGCGCGGAAGAACTTCTCAGCTGGAGGTAAAAAAAAAAAAAAAAGGAGAGAAAAAAAAAACAAAATTACATTATTATTTGTACCCCATTTATTTACATCACAACCCCGACTGAGGACTTGTGCAGTGTACCTTTTGCAGGCCAACACTCCCTTTAAACATTAGTGACGTTTTGTTAGCGCATTAGCAACTCTTTGACTATATCACAGCTTGATGCCAAAAAATGTTTTTATTTTTCGTTTCGACACCTTTATATACGCGCACTTGCAAAAATTCCCGATTTTTCAATTATTCAATTTTTTTTTCCGCTCTGCTCACGACCCTTGTTGATAAGTTTATTAAGAGACATCTGTCTGCAGTTCGCCTAAAGCTGATTTTACCACCCACCGTCAGAGGCGTAAACTGCATTTAACCCTTTACACGTCCAATGATAATTAACGACCCTTGACGCTGTATAAATGTACTGTTTATATAATATCTGTACGTGAAAAAAAAAACGCGATTATAATCGCGTTCACATACAATTCTCTGTGTTTTGATTATAAATCCAGTGTAAAATGAATAAAATCGCATTAGAATATTCTGTTTTTGGGTTTTATTTGATTCTAAAAATGTCTCGAAGCCCGTCGCAATTAAAATTCTACGGCTCCCGTATATATTGCAGGGTTCCTGACCGAACCTAACCATCTTGATTACTTTCTAAACCGATCATTTTTCTTCAAGACTACCGACACTCGGCAATGGTCTTACGATTAATTACTATTACAGTTTAGCGGTGGCTCGCCAGATGAGGCTATAGTAAAGCGTCGCCTCGTCTAAAACGTTTTGTTTACAAATAAACAAATCCACTTAATTTTTTATTGTTGCCATAATACCGTGTTTCGAAATTGTAATCGATTTCCTTCGGGAAATATAATTAGTCCGATCGGTTTCAGAAAAATGTGTAGGCGTACCGGCTGCGTCCGAGTTCCGTCTCAAATATACAATTTCGTATTTAAGCACACACTAGTCCCGTCCCGGGTATCTAAAATGGATATACCAATTTCGTTCCGTGTTATTTATTTAGTTAGACAAGTTACGTCCCGTGTAATTTATTTAGTCACACGAGTTCCGTCCCTTTTTACATTTTCTACGCTATGTATAAATATAGTATACAATTTACGACCACGGTCACAATTTTTTATATTATTTAGAAATAAAGATAATATCGCTTTCAGTTATCGCACTAAATAATCGAATTTATATACATTAATATTTTAATATTATTTGAATTTTAACTGTATTTTACCATTGATAAGAAAAATGTCTGTTTGAATTATTATTTTTTATATCATACAAATTTAATTCAATAACAAATTTTTATTTAAGAAAGTATATGCTACGTTTGGAATTTTTTTTTATTCAACATTTATGTATTTTAAAAATTATAAGAATATTTTTAATCGGGACGGAACTGATATCATACATTTTTTTTCACCCGGAATTGGTATAAAAAAAGGTTATTTGAACGAAACTCAGATGCAGCCGGTATGCCTACTGAATATTTTCAAATTTTCAAAATAATTACCCGTATAAATTGAAGCCTAAAATCAACAAATAATCACCGACGATAACAGCACATAGTTTTCTATTTCTGATAGTATACTCGTATATTATATTAACACCTTGTAATTTTCAAACTGTTTACTTTGCTACTTACAAATTTCAGCCGTAATTGATAATAATTTCAGTTGCGCTGCGTACTCGATAATATTCGTGTTTTTTTTTTCGCGTGAACAGACAGCCGACCGCGTCCGCGTCAATGAATTTCCGTTTCGATAATATCATATAGATTTGAAATATTATTTTTGTACCCTGTATACCTTATATCTTATTATTGTTGAAACCGATACGGACAACAATATAATATCCGACTAGAGTGCGGACGACGGCGTCTGCGCGACACGATGGACATTCGCACGCACGTTTTTAGGTTGTTTTTTTTTTTTTTTGTGCTCTCGACACCCGACGTATACGTATAATAATAATAATAATAATTATTTTTTTTTTTTATGCACGGCCTGGACATACGATCCGACGCGGTGACGGGGCAAAACCGCATTCCTCCGGTTCGCGGTGTAATATCGACGGCCGACAATATCGAATTTACGTGTCAGATTTCGTACTTTATATTGTTATAATATTATTATGTGACGACGTGATAGACCGGTCGAGATAGCGTTTATTCGAGACCGCGTGTCCGGACGTCCATACCGATTTCGGGTATTGGACGTCGCGCGACAATATTATTTTATTCTATTATATCGACGGGAAAAATTCTTAAGAGGAGACTATAGATCAACTGAAAATGGAAGGACGTTGCCGAGAACTAACTGAACCTAACTGAACTTTCGGGAGACGAAACTTCCAACACACACACACACTCACACGCACATATACACACATATTTTGTTCGTAAAAATGTTCTATTAAACCCGAAAACCCTAAGTAAAAACATAAAGTAAAACAGAGTATGCAGCAATCTAATATAGGTAGATTTTCAATAGAAACAATTCGAGTTTTAGATTCTGAGTGGATCGAAGAAGCTTATGGATGTTTTTTTTTTTCTGTCGACAACTATTCTACCAGAAATCTTGCTCCGATTTACAAGTGTAGCACTGTTTCTGGAAGGAAAATCTAATTGAGGAGATACTTTTGAGAAGTCATTTTTTGATTTTCCCGATAAATTAGTAAAACTGAGAAAAACAGAGGAAAAACGGGAAAATGTACGAAATGTATAAATAAATATTAATTAATTAACTAATAAATATTTCGGCCTATTTTTTTCCTGCGAACAACTTTTTTGCCAGCGATTTCTTCCCGATTAACAATGATAGCACTTTTTCTAAAAGAAAATCCGAATGGGGAGGTTCTTTTAGAAAGTAATTTTTGAATTTTTTTAGAGGTTTTCCCAATAAATGGGAAAACCGGGAAAAACGTAGGAAAAACGGGAAAATAGGTACAATATTAAAAATATATTATTAAAGAACATATATAATGCATAAGTAATTGATAATTATTTTAACATAATATGACATGTATATTGTTGACACAGCAACACTATCAACTGAACTCCGCTCAGAATCGTTTATTCGTTGGCAATGGTTTATCGTTGCTTATAGATAGGTATATACATTAAATTTTCCCTCTAATAGCTTTCCAACTTCTCACCTACAACAGTGGAGTGCTGAGTCGCCCAGCTTTATTTAAAATTTCATTAAAAACTTCAGAGTGTGATGACAGCGACATCCTCCTGGATATCGAATTAAATGGTACTGATAATAATTTTACTCCGTCCTTCTATACTCCAGCGATATTAATTCTCGTGTACCCGGAGTACGACGAGACGCAACACGACAGCGCGCTCGCACACCACTGTTATATCATAATATTGTAAGCGACACACACGATTTCAGACGGTAGACATCCTCCCTGTTTAGTCAAGGGTATCATCCCTGTTTAAAGGATACTTTTGGGTGGTCCGTTCCCGTTACTGTAGGTACAATACAATATCATTACTTCCGTAACGCTGACCATTATTATAACATTACATTATATTGTGTACGAGCATTAAAATATAATAATATTGTATGCAGGGAGATTCTTTTATCGCGAACTGGCCAACGTTTAGAGTATATAGGTACCAGCCTATTATCTATAAATGTGCATGTATTATACAGGGTTTGCAGATTTTCCATGTTACAGTCAAATGTTGCGTGAAATACTTATTTTTTCAATGATGTTATTGTCCTTATTTTGTTTCGATTTTTTTCGTAGATGAAACCATTTTTGATTTTCAATCGGCAACCTATTTTTAAAATTGCATAACAGTCCAACAATTTCCATTAACCCGTTGACGAGATATTCCACTTTTAAAAGTGGAATAGTAGAGTACTGATCAAACGTCGCACACCGTGCCGCTACACAAATTATGCTCCACTTACTCTCCTCTTACAAAAATTTAAAAGTTAAAAATATCAACACCAAAATGTATATTTAAACTGATATTTCATCTACTTATGGGACTCGTAATATATAGATTCATATTTGAAAATCCAAAGTGAATAGTGGTCCACTCTCAAAAATAAGGATGAAAAAATAAGAAAAATGTAATACGTTATAATATTATCTGATTCCAAAAGGTTTTTACCCCGAGTCGTTTTTCAGTATTTCATAGAATCTTTGGCTGCAACATGAAATTCATGCGAAACCCTGTTAATTTTGTTTATTATTTTTTATTAATCCAGACACAACATTAATGTATTATATCATCTTCTCATTCTCGTGTCCGTCGCAGGAAAAATTAGTCGTGGAAAAACAGTTAGATCGATTAGAAGAGTTGGCTGGTGGTCAACACCGCCGTTCCAGGGGCGCTCGATTGTTGTTTGTAAAATAATAATACACGCGGTTTGTGAATGCACTGTTTTTGGCCCCAACATTACATTGTTACAGAATAGTTTCATGTCGTAGTAAATACAATATTTTCAAAATCGTATTTATAGATATTATATCGAAAAAACACGTCGACAAACCCGAATAGCTATAACGCGCAGGGAGAAAAGATAAATTTTGGACCGCCGTCATTTGGGATAGGAAGACGTGGTGTACAGTGCCGATAAAGACGTGGTATATTTAAATGGACGGTCAGACTAGAAATTATGAACATAAGTTTAAGCATAACGAGGAACATCCGGATCGGAATATTACGCGTTTATTATAGACAGTGGCGTGTGAAACATTTTTTTTTTTTTAAATTTGTGCGTAGGCCCGGCAAATGTCCATACCATTACCATCGCCAGTACCACCCGTCCTGTGAAAAATAAATCGTGATTATTAATTATTACTTCTGACCCACTGTTCTACGGTTGCTGTGGTTCAATCAAATCCAGGAGAGAAAAAAAAAAAACGTTTTCGCCTCGACGCTATATTGATACACTTATGCGTTTCGAGATGACGATGGGAAAAAAAAAAAAAAAAAAAAAATATTACGAGTTTTTTTTTTTTTTTTTCTAGGTCGTTGAACAAACATTATATTTTATATTTTTTGTCACAGACGACGCGGTTTATCGTTTACAATATTATTGACGCGGTGCAGCGCGCGGTCGCGCGTTCGATAACAAAGTGATACAGTTTCGCCGATTTCGCGGATTCGACACGGCACCGTCGCCGGGCGTTTCGTGTGTGCCTACCTATGTTATTATAATAACACACGCGGACACGGCACGCAGTCGTGTGGCAAACGCGTATCAAATCGTCGTGTACATATGTATCATCATCGTCATTATTATTGTCACTATACCCGTGTGCGTAGAAAGGGTTTTATTACGTGTACCGGTGGCGGGCGAACGCCCAATGTCCAAACCCTTTTTTTTTTGTTATTATTATTCGTGTCCATTGTTGTTCACGCGTCCTTTTTTTTTTTTTTTTCCTACTTCGTCCCGGTATGTAATAATTCACGTGTACGCGATGCGCTTATTACACTACACATTATATTATTTATATTATATTATATACGTATGTTGACGAACCGTTTGTCGGAGGCGCGAGTCTGCATTATATAGGTGTATCGTATACGTTATTACACGGGGTCGTGACTAAAACCGCATTGCCGACGATCGATCGACGCGCTATCGTAAATCGTATTCGTTGCACGGTACACCCGAGATACGGGATAATGGCGCGAGCCGCGATAAAAATTATCGCGTTCGATATAAAATACACCCTGAACAACGTGCATGTACGGTTGTACATAATTTAGGTTTGCGTACGAACGTACAACTGGTTCGTGCACGGTGACGTGCGAAAAGGGGGGAGGGGGTGTACTACCCCTTAATGTGACATCCGCCCTCCGTCGGCTTAAAAACACAACAACTATTGTGGGTGTTTATTTAGAAGAATTGCATCTTATTGAAGTCGTACAGTTTAGCCAAATCACGAGGGAAAAAACTTGATAAGTTGAATAGAAATCAATTCTATCGGATCCGGTTTTTAAATTCTCATCGTCCAGATAAGTTTGACAGAAGTTGTTTTTTACGGTTTGTTCACGAACAATGATTATTATTAACCGCATGCCCTCCCGTTGAACATTCCCGGACTCGCGCACACAGACTTGTAGGTACATATAACAATGGACAATATCTTTTTAATTTCTACACTCTTTTAGAAAACATTTGAAAGATCCGCGTTACGATGTGATCACACTGTTATAACCAATATCCGATAAACCGTTGAGGTGGGAGATATATATTTTTTAAATTTATTTTAATGCGTACAATCTATAAAAACCGTTGTATTATAGGAATGTTTGAGGTTTTATATTACATTCTAGGGCGATATTCAATTTGTAGATTGTGCCATAACGTATTATCACGCATAAACACCTTAAAAAGAGTTCGATTTTCGAAATATTTTTTTGAAAGAATGTTCGATTTTCCCTAAAATCGAAATCGAAATCGAATAACCGTTTGGGCGGTTCGGACGGGTAATCTTTCGGATGGGAAAACGTACGGGCACGTTCAGGTTTTTCTACACCGACGGAATTGTCCCGCTAAACGGGCGTGAAAAACCCGTGCGGGCCGTGAGTGAGAACACGGATCCGCCGAAGAACGATCAAGGACGGCGACGTGTTTTCAGCTCCCCGACGACCCCCGCCCCCCCACCCCCACCGCGCCGCAACCGACCGAATACGTCGCCGGCCGCGCCTGCGTACCGCGCACGGGCGCCCGCGGGGCGTCGCGCAGCACTCTCGAGGCGCGTTTTTCTCCGATTTCCGGCAGGACGGTCGGCGGGCGGTTCGTCGTGCGCGACAAAACGGCCGTTCGCGTCCGCGCGACAGCGGACGGCGTCACACGGTCGCCGCTCGTTTTACCGGGATCGGTCCCGGGAAAAGGGTTTTAAGCGTTCGCGGACCGCGCGTCCCGTGCGCCGTGCGGACGTTACCGCTTCGTACACGCAGTGCGCCCACCCCGTACGCAACGCGTCCCGCTCGCGTTATACCGACGGACGTCGCGCAACGTCGGTGTTTGTTTATGTGTTCGGCCGGGTATCTCTGCACGGTGCGTTGCGCGCCCCGCGGCTCTCCGACCGAAATATTACGACCCGCGGGATGTTGCGTGCGGCGTAAACACCGCGCTGGTCGGCACGCACCCGTGGGCAGACGGCGGCGTAATATTTCATACGTAACACAAACGAAATTGTTCGTTACGCGTAAATCGGATCCCGCGGAGGTGCGCGGACGGTACGCGCGTGCGCATCCGCGCAGGTAGTGTTATAATGCACGGGGATTATTTTTGGAACTCGACGTGATTTATGTACACGCGTTCGTTTTTCCTCCCATCGCGATGCCCGTGAAATACCCAGCCATTCGCGCGGAGAACTGTTTCCGTTTATTTGTACACCGTACAACGGCACCGTGTAAAACAGGTACCCGCCGACGAGAACCGACTCGCACGATACGGGCGCACCGCTGACGTCCCGGTGTTTCGTACGCGCGCGCGGCGGCGTCGGCCATTGTGTTGCGACACGGCCGTTCGTAAGTGGCGGCGCAGTGGCGAACGTCCACTGTCCGCCGTCGAGTGTACACGCCGTGTAAAATATAAGCCGAACAATCGCATTCGTGCATCTCGAAAACATCCCGAGTAAATTCAGTATCGTTTTAATTTATCACTCGGCACTAAAACCGGACTGCTGAGACGTTACGTGTTTGCGACTGTCTCATTGTGATACGAAGCTGAAATATTTGAACTTGCAGCGTTTCCTTATTTTTTTTTTTTTTTTTTTTATGCCGTGTTACAATCAGTTCAAATACGAATTTTTTTTCTTTTATAGCGTTAGTTTTAATATAAATTGCTTTTTACCAGTATTTCCATGCCTTTTTCCATATTTTATACTTTGTGTTCACATCAGCTCCTGACGGAAACCCAAGTTTATTCTCCCGCGATTTTTAAATAATTTCGCATTAGTATTTGTTTGGTAGTGTAGTTTTAAAAAACTTCAAGAATTCTAATATGCAATTTGAAAGGGCACCTATTTTATTTTTTTGTTTATTGTCGTACTTTTTTTTTTTTTTGCTTTTCAAAATATTTAATGATTTATTTCATTGCCAAGAGGGTGGATTAAACTTTTTTGTCGATTTTAAGTGTTCTAAGTCTAGAACTTTAATTATACGTATGTATGTTGCTCTCCTCCCACTTCTTTGGCACACTTTTAGCTGCTCTTTCTGGACTAAATGAGCTCAAACTCGGGCACCAAGTTATTTTGTATAGGCGGATTGAATTTAAAAAGATGTCCATGTCACCCAATGACCTATGAACACATTTATGTTTAGTTACCTATACCTATAATTATAATAATGTTTTATCGATTCTTTTACAGGTGCACATTTTGTCGCCGTTTATAATGAACGGAGTGTGCGTGCAGTGGAAAGGTCGTATTAATTTAGAAAAGTTGGACGGCATCGGGTGTTTGGAATTTGACGAAGAACGAGCGATGGTACGTCATTATCGGTTATAATAATAATAATATAATTTTTTTTAAAACACACAGAGGATCTTCCCATCTCAGTTCTTGCAGTGGCGTAGCTAGAAAAATGTATTATTATTATTATTTTTTTTTTTTTGTTTGGCGTGGGATAATTTTGCAATTCCATCATTCACTCGGACGTCGACTGTCCATTAATTACTGAAACGTTAAAATATTGAAAAATCTTGTTTTATACGGTACGGTAAACCACATTTAATTACCTAATTCAAATTGTGTCTGATAAATATTTATACTTTTATATACATTTAAAACGTACTTTTCGAGGGCCCCCCCCCTCTTTCCCGCCGAAAGAGGACATAACCTCCTGTTTTTTTTTCTGGCTACACCACATCCTGCAGGCGTACGAGTTCAACGGAAATGGCCTAGAAACCTACTTCCGTGGATTTTTTTTTTTTTTTCGAAAATACAAATGTCTATTAAATTTCTATATTATAATCAGGCGGGCGGGCAGTTAGTTATTGCCAACTGGCTGGCTATCATAAACGTGTGTTAAACACATACTAAATATTTTTATTTTTATTTTTATTAACGATGCGTAAAAACGAATCGTTTATTTATTGTTGTTTTATCGGTCGTTGGTGTTATTGTGTAGATCGAACATCAGATATTGCAAGAACAAATCGAAAGGTATAACAACCGCATCAAAGACCACCAGGATAAACCGCGAGCGTACAGACATCATCAAGAACGCGTTAACATCCCCGAAATGGACGTCAACAAGAGATTCAATAATAATTTTTAACCCGTTGTTTATTTCTTTATTTATTTATTCCTTTTTGTTTTCTTCCTTTGTTTTATTATTATTATTATTATTATTATTACTTATTATTATTATTGTCTTTAAATTAGGTACTGTATTCGTTGGCATTGTAGCATATAACTATTACCGAGAAATAATTATTCTAGACTTTTAGAGCCGTGCAGTACGAAATACACGCACTTATACCTATCCAAATTTAATTTTGTAGTTACACGCGATTTCGTGGTTTTATTTGTTTGTCAATAAAATGAACGTAGTGTGAAATACAAAATGATTATTAATTTATTCGTCTTTACGCGTTTTATTTCCGAACGTTGTACTATTACCGTATTTTGTCGGTGCCCAAATAAGTGTTTGCATAATCGCCGAACTGTATGGATAAACGCGGTTAGAGAGGTCGGTATAATTACCAAATAACAATAATATTGGGTAATGCATTTGTATAGCCTCTAAATTGATAACAGTATTACGGAGTAGGTAATTTCAACTGATTTTCATCATACGCGTAAGTATCTGCATAGATCCGAACAGAAAAAAAAAACCCCGTGCGTCGACCGCAGTATATTACGCGAGACGGCCAACTCCTATTTAACCTGCGTGATCTTACGACAAATGGTCCGACCTCTCCGTAGCCCAAAGCTAGTGTACCGATTGTTTTGAAATTTACACAGGTTGATCAGTATGTTAAGTACATGATATTTTTGTAAATGTCAAGTTGATCGGACGATTACAGCCTGAGTAAAATGCAAAAGTATTACCATAGTTTTTACACGAAACGCTATTTTCTTCAACAATTCAATAATGTACATGTTGTGCGAGTTGTTACCACCTGTTTGCGACGGCCGCCGTTTGCGGCGAACAAGAAACAATTTTGTTTATTTATTTAATCGCTGTATTAATACAGTATCATTTTCCAGTAACGTCCGTAATAAACTATATTCAGAGCTATACATAATATATTTACTTACTCAATCCATAAAACAACAAAGATATTTTGTTCCCATAATTTTTCACTCGATAAAAAAAAAAATTAGGTTAACAATATCAAAAATTTTAATAAAATACAAGTGAAATCTCAACAAAAACCCTCAACCCGTCAACTACGTTTAAAAAACTCGCTAAGGAAAATAAAACTCAGGTTAGAAAAGTTGAGATATCAAAAAGGGGCTAAGTGATTTCTTAAATTCATTAGTATAGAAACTGTTTATATATATATTTTTTACAGCGCTACTATACAATATCGTTGACCAACAAAGAAATATAAAAAAAAAATCACAAATAAAAAATATAGGGATTTTAATAATTTCAAAACGCATCTTAAAAATAAAAAAAAAAACAAAAAAGACCTAATACTGCCGATGAATGTACACCACAGGTGAATAGCTGGGAAGGTAGGATATATTATAGAGTTATTTAGTTTGCATTTATACGCAATAAAAATAATTGCAAATGAAAGACGGAGCGAAGTTCGATAAAATATATGTTTTAAAATTCTATAATTTTTACGATGTTCGTTAAAATTTGAATTTAAAAAACGTCCTAAGATAATGGGGACAAGATCAGCTATTATTATAGGTAATTTAATGTATACTTGTAAGCAACGATAAACCATTGCTTACGAAAACACGATTCTGAGCGGAGTTCAGTTGATAGTGATGCTTTGTGAATAACATATATGCCATACTATAGTAAAATAATTGAATGGGTTCCATGTATTTTGTTTAATAATATTTGTTTATTGCTGTACCGATTTCCCCGGTTTTACTAAGTTTTTCCTGGTTTTCTCATGTTTTTTCGAATTTTTCACGTTTGCTGAGAAAATTCTTGAGAAAATCCTCTCTAAGGTACCTGCCCACTCCGATTTCCTTTCAGAAAAAGTGCTACACGTAAAAATCGAAGAAAGTCCTCTGGTAAAAAAGTCGTCTACAGAAAAAAAACAAAAAAAATCGTCTTCGTAAAACTATAAGTATTCTTTTCAATTTCACAAGCGTGAATTTTGCGAAAAATTCGTAAAATAATTTATTTTAGAAAAAACATTTTATCAACTAACTTTTAAGGGGCATGGTTTAATAGTTGTGCCTTTTGTTTCCACGACTACTGTTCCAACATTGAATTTATCCAAAAAATAACCGCATGTCAAATATGTTATAATAAACGTAATACATAATAAATACACTAAATAAATAATATATATTAAATATCAACATAAATTTACGGTAGATAAAATATGCATGGTAGATGGCACAATGTTGAACGGAGTACCCGAAGCACTATATTATCATTGCCATATGATGTTTACAAAAAAATACGTTTAAAACGAATAAAAACATGTTTCGAACAGACACGTAGCCAGAACATTAAATATTATTTTTCACCGGGCGGGCCAATATTTGAGAGGTCTACTCGACACATTTTACGTTTAAAAAAAAAAACCGTAGTTGCGAGCACAATTATCACTACAAACATATAACCAAATAATAACACTTTCGCATCTCATTTTGCACGTTTACTTTATGACGATTACGCCATTTACCGGATAGTATACACGACGTGTAACACTATATAATAATACTGCTGACACGATGAGCTGGTAACGGGTACTAGGCGGTAATCACTAATCGCTAATCAATTCATATCAATGCACGCGAGTCGAGTGGGATGATAACAGGCAGTGTAAATCGAACACGTTCAACGCGTGTTTGATTTCGTCTCATGACAACGAGCCCCACTGAATATTTATTTTGGGCGGGACGGCCCGAGGCCGGACTGCAAATTTTAGGACGGGCCAGACACACTCTGGCCTCCCCTTGGCTACGTGACTGGTTTCGAACAATAATAAAAAAAAAAAAAACCAACAAAAATTACAGTTTTTTTTTTTTTTTTTTTTCATTCGGGTCGATGAGCGTCAACAGTTGCGGCAATCGGCCGATAAATACGCCCGAGACGATAATGTTGTACACGTATTTCATTGTCACGCGGCGACGGAGGCCTTTTGGCGACGACGACGACGACGATATTATTATTATATTTGTTGTTGTTGTTGTTGTTGTTGTTGTATGCCTGTTTGCGTTTGCTCGGCGGAGGGCTCATGATATTGTCCTGGACACAACGAATCGTTACGCCGAAAAACGACAATATTTACAGGACCCGGGCGGCGGGCGGCGGCTAGCGATACGCACGCGCGTGCATTTCGTTATCGTTATTGTTGTACCGTTCGCGTACGCAACACGCAGAAAAAGAGACCGTCCCCGTACAGGTGGTGTTCCGGGCGCGCGGGGACCTGTGCGCGTACCGGCGACGCCCGGGGGAAAAGCCGGACGGTCCAAAAGTCGGCGGGGATGCGGACCAACGGTATTGTAACGAGAATTTCTCTGCCCCCCCCACCCCCCAGCGCGCACACTTCTGCCGCCGCGTGACGTTGTCGTCGTCGTCGCGGTGTTATCCGTACGCGCCCGCGACTCCGCCGCCGGGCCGGTACGTTCGCGGGCCGACCGGGGAGTGCCGGCCGTAAATCATCGAATTGCCATTGTTGCGCATCGCATGCGGGCCGCGGGGCGCACTAACGTTTGTTCCGCGAAAAACGCGGTCGCGTGGTTGTTACGCTACGCTTTCGGCACCCCGGCGGCACCCGACGCCCGATAACGTCGTCCGTTCGATAACGATAACGCGACCCGCCGCGCCGTCGTGTTTTGCTTAACGTCGGCGAACGCGATTTGCGCGTGTCGGAAATTCGCGAAAAAAACGTCTCGGTGTCAACGACTTAATTAAACATCGTTTATTATTATTATTTTTTTTTTTTTAACGTTTAAAAAAAACACAACGCTCTGTGTTCTTCAGGGCCAGGGACTTTAAATCCCCCCCCCCTCTGCCGTTTTTGCAATATTATTTTCTTCCGGATTTTAAGCAAGCGCATTTCCGTTACCTAATCCCTGGTTTTTTTTTTTTTTATCAATGAGATTTTAACAAGGGTATTACGACAATTATCGCGCACATATCCCCGAGAAACAAACACAGACATCGGGTAAAACTCACACATCTAAATTCGGAGGCCCGAATGTTTTATTTAATCCTAAACGCGTATAATAATATGATTGAGATAGTGTCGGAGGACCCGCACTCGGAGAAATTTCCAAAAACGACGGTGTGTACATTTTGGCCGCAGCTATAAATTCGCGGGACCGCGTGCGACACCGCGGGGGGGGCAATGATAATATATTATAACAGTGTTATAGACAGTGTCGGACACGACTAAAAACCGGAAACGATGGATTTAACGGTGATTTGATTATTTTTTTTAAATATTGTCGAATGCGAATAATATACGTTTCCAGGCTGTAGACGTCCGAATTTCCGCATCAACCACGTTACGATATTATTATTGTTCCTCCCCCACGCCTTTTGTCGGACGTGATGGTGTTAGCGAACGCCTGTAACAATACGCTCGTTCGTAAAAGCCATAAAAATAACTATTGCAATGGTTCTCAACGCAAGAAATAATATTCATCCGGTTTTCTGATTTCCTCTCCGTATAATATAGAGCCTACAGCGTTTCAATTTTCCGCCGTGAAAACCCGCCGAAATCCGAATTGTTATTTCAGATTCCGAGTGTACCGAAGATGATGATAATAATAATATATATATATTATTTTACTGAAGATGTGTTATTTTGTTTTTTTTTTTTTTTGTGTCAGTAAACGACTTTTTTTTTATCGGAAACTGTAGTCCAGTCAGAAAACGAAGCGTGAACTTTTTTGTAGCGGTTTTGCATCTAATTGTGCATTGAACATATTGTTTTTTAAATTTCCAATCAGTTTTTGTAATAATTAGAAAAACTGGGGAAAAAATGTACAGGAAAAGCCGAAAAATGTTCCGCATTAAAAGTTTCGTTATTTTCGATTTTGTTTTTCTACCAGAAGTATATCTTCGAATTTCAAACTAGTGAGTTATAGAAGATGGTTTTTGGATATTATTTTTCTAAGTGGGAAAAATAGAAAAAAATGACGAAGTTTACGATAGTACGATTTCATTATTTTCAATTTTGTTTTTTTGTTGAAAAATAAATGTTGTAATTCGGTCGAAAATAATCATAGATACCTTACTTATACACAGAATACTAATATTATCATTTTCTAGACGCGGTCAAATTGTCGACACATTATGACGGTTTTTGAATTATTTATTGGAATTCTACACACTTGAGTTTTTTCATTTTAGACTCCGTGCGTAGCGAGTGAGCTATTGGTATTACAATACATGTTTATTTTTTCTTCTTCTTTGTTCTAGTCTGTGGACAGATGTTTTACTAGTAAACTTGCTCCGATAAGTGTAGCACTTTTTCTGAATGCAGAAGTTGTTTAAATTGTACTTTAAAAAGGTCATTTTTTTGATTTTTGAAGCCAATTTTTAAATAGAAGCACTTAAGTAGAAAACGTACAATTTCACGATTTCATTATTTTATAAAAACACGGACGACGTTTTCTACCAGAAAAAATGATTAAATCGAAAAATCACAAGATACCTTTTTTGTTGCCATTTTGATTTACTTTCTTACGGTATCAATGCCAAACATTTTGAGCCTTTTTTGAACATTTAAGGAATTTTAATTTTCGGGAGTTTTTTGTTATACTTAGGTTATAAATACGCTTAGATTCTTGAAACTTGATAATAATACTAATATTAGCTTATGGTTTTACAACTTTTCTACCAAAGGACTTGCTTCGATTTTTACGTGTAGTACTTTTTCTGAAAGGAAATCGGAGTGGGGAGGCACCTAAATGAAAAGGATTCGTACGCAATCATAACGCACCCGGACAGTTTTGTTAATTTCAACACCCCGATTGGTGGCACCGACACTATAATATATTATTATCTAATAACTTGTTTGGGTGTCTCCGTCGGTTTTAATTTGCACGAGATGTGTATAATTATATTATGTACATTTAAAACCCGTCTCAATGGTCCACACTTCCACAGTCCATATGACATCTGCAGCACCATGTCAACAATAATATTATCAAAAGTCATAGGTAACTCGCAATTTATTACTTTTTTCTATAAAAATTTCCCAAGTATTATAATCAGGCGATCGATAATTTTTGAAGGATAAATCGATATACATGCATAATTTATTACGTTATGACGAATCTGTGAACTAAAACCTATTGCCCACGTACGCCACTGTTCTTATAAGTTTTGTTGCCCAAACATATCACTACTCTTTATATTTTCGCCTTTTTTGGTGCCCAAATGTGTTATACAAATTGCCCAAACGTGTCAAAATTAAGAGGTCACTTAAACTTTTTTCGTCCCCTTTCGTTTGCTATAACACATTATCATTTAATACCATTATAGTCTTTTTGACGAAAACATTATACGGCATAATTCAATAATATTGTTGTAGCATAGTACTTTTTGGGCACCAGACGTATTAAAGTTGTGTATGCTATAAAAACCGTAATCACAGTTGTTTAAACAAAAATAATATTGTTTGAAATAATTCACAAGTCGGTCTGCTGTGCTGAACGCTATTGGTTTTTTTTGTTATTCGTTATCTAGTTTTTATGTTCAGTGTTACAGACTTGCAGAGTTGCAGGGTACAGTTTAATGAGTTTTACTTTTAAAAACCCAAACATGATTTTTTCTAAAGGTAACAAATTGTATGGTAATAATAATAATTTTTTATTTTAATTTTTTTTTCTCAGAATACTGCACTTTTTCGGTGTGTACAAATGTTGTTTCCATTTTGTTCTTCCGCGCATACAAATCTCGGATTTTTCTGACGGCAGTATTCTTTATTTAATCTTACCTGCAATTTACCGAACTCCATTCAGAATCTTTGTTCAATTTTAATCACATGCCGTTGCTTTCAGTATATCAACTATAAATTAATAGCAATAACCTCCCACCTATAAAAGTGGCCTTTTCATTGTGCACGGTGTAAAGTATGTCCGGCTTTGAATTATTTCTGTCCATTTAATTTTACGAGTATGCTAAACTATGTCATAGTTCTATTACTGACAAAACTGTAATCTACCATAATATTTTATAGATGTAGTTTATTTTTCATTTCGTTTATAGGTGTGATATTTGTATTTTTTCTCACAACGATTCCAGGCAACAACGGTAATATTACTGCTATAAAAAGATTTTACCGTGCTAAGTATTTCAATATTTATTTGTTTTTTTTTTCTTTTCTTAGGACATAAACCTAAAGTTCCAGTTGCTGCTGAAATTACGATAGTACCTGACCAATTGGTAAAATTAGAGGATTTACCAGAAAATGTTCGAAGTAAATATTCAGTGATTTTAAAATATCTAATAACATTATTTATTGGTTCTTACGACAAAAGAATTACTGAGACAAAAGTTTTTCAATAGCGAAAATTGAAGTATTGTATTCCGAAAAAAATGAGTAGGTGGTTGAGGGCCAAGTGATACAACATAGGTATCTACTGTGTATATTATGCGATACATTCTTATTTTTTAATGTCTTACTCGATGCTTTTTAACCTACAAATGTATTTCAAATAATTCAATACTTTGTAACTATAAAAAAATGTTGGTGCATTTTGACGATTTTAACGCATTTAAAGACATTTTTGATGTATTTCTCGTATTATGACTAAACAATTTGTCTTCAGTGATATATAAATATCATAAGAATACATAATATAAATCTGTTTTATCTTGAACAATATTAACAACAGGTAATCTGGTTTTAAATAAGACAAGGCAACTTTTATCAGAGTATTTTCATGTCGAGCGATAATATCATATCGGTGGATGATTGCCGGATACTTTTAGTCAGTTTAATTTATCCAAAGGGCATTTTTTTATATTTTCAATGAATTTAAATCCGAACTTTACTTATCATAATATAAGCGTATTTAGTAAAAGGTAGTAAAAGCTACATTATAAAATCGCATGTGATATTTTTTAGTCTAGATTTATTTATTTTTTTATGATTTTTAATGATAAAATTATGATAGCATGTACTTATAATTCATAACTTGTTACAGGGTGTATCGGTAAGATATAATAGTATTGTGTTTTAGTTTGGCTAAGTTATGTTATACTTTATAGTTTATTCAATTCATAATGTGTACTATCTATAACGAATAATATTTGTTTATATTTATATTTTTTAATTTCTAAAGGGTTGATTGACTCAGTCAATTAGGTTTAGACTTTAACTCATTAAAAACGTAACAATTAAATACGAGCAAAGTCAAAATTTTAATTCCTAGTTTTTTTTTAAAAATTGGTATAGGAGTAATATTTCGTTAAATTACAATAATAGAAAATAAAGCGAAACATTGTTATAATGCGCGACAATACCTGCAGTGCTCGTAACTCAATTTTTATTTGATTCGTTTAACTTATGATAGACTTCAGAAGATATTTGTTAAATTATAGAAAGATATTCTAGAACACTAAATATTTCATCTGGATAGACTTAAATCAAAATCGGAAAGTTTTTAAGTGTTGTGTAGGAGATACAAATAAGTACACATTTTGAGTTCATTTTCTAAATGTAATCTTTACGGTATCAGCGTTCACAATAAAATTTACATTATCTTAAATATAAATACTATTGTTTTTAATGCCAGGTTCAAAAAGTCAATATAATCTTTTTTATCTCAGACAAACTCAAACGTTTGTAATTATATGACTATTTTTACTTATGATTCTTTTTCTCATACAAGAATAGTTAAATTTCGCCATGTTCAATGCTAATCAAAGTCAATGAAAAATCGTAAAGTTTTTTTAAATTTTAGACATATGTATATCAGAAAATTTTTGAGAAAAAAACTGTATTAGTTATTGTTTGAAAACGAGGTTTATTCGAATCTTATGCTGACAATTTTTTTCTGTTTATGAAAATGTATGCATTCATATGCATGCTCACTACAAGGAATACAGTTTTGAAATTCGACTCGTCATTTGAATTTGTATATCCTTGATCTTGAAAAAATTCTCGTTAGTCGTTAGTATCTGAGTACAACCGGCTGAAATATTTCGTCTTACCACTTGAGTGAAACACATTGAAGTATACATATATAATCGATGTATTCGTCTTGGACTTATTGTAATAATTTAATAACGATAGATGATATACAACGGGGTTACTTTCTAAATTACACCTGTTATGGCCGTATATTGAATTTAAAATCGGTTCAATTTAAAATACATACATAATAATGCATATCTATCCAAGAAAATAAAACGATCTTGTAATGTTTTTTTATGTGTTAAATTAATAGACAATTTAGCGCAGGCAGGATACAGTAAGTATACTTATCTGAGGTATTAATTTAAATTACCTTGTTTTCTCAAGACATTTATTAACTTATAAATCCGAAAAAACTGGAAGAGTGATGTAGGCTAGGTAAAATTGAAATTCCACAAATTTCCAGAAGGTACTACCGCTGTAAAGGGCTTAAATGTAATCTGCCATAGATTATGTCACTATATGTCATCAAGTTTAGCTTCTCCAAAAATTAAACAGATTCTACACCAATACCAATCGTTTTCGGTCATTGTATATACCCTCTTTCCCATCTATTTGTGGGAGTGTCGTACCCACACAGGATTACAGGTTCAATATAATATAATTATGTATACCGAGTTTGTTTAAAGGATTACATTGCTCCGGACGTTAGATTTTGTATTATATTTAACAAACATAATATTTCTATACATTCAATTGGAAAAACAGAAATGTGTTCTATTATTGTTTTTATTTCTTAGATTCTGAGTGGAGCGAAGGAACTTATGGATTTACAGAGGTGTTTATTTTTTATTTTATTTTTTCTGTGGACAACTTTTCTACTAGAGGCCTTGCTCCGATTTTTACGTGTAGCACCTTTTTCAAAGTACACCGGTGTGAGGAGGTACATAGAATAGGTCTTTTTTCGATTTTCTCCGGAGTTTTCTCAGCAAATATGAAAAACTGGGGAAAAACATAGGAAAACCGGAAAAAACGTAGGAAAACCTCGGAAATCGGTACGAAATTAAAAAAATATTATAAAATAAAATATATATAGCCTATTTAATTAATTTACTATAATATGGCATATATATTGTTGACAAAGCATCACTATCAACTGAACTCCGCTCAGAATCGTTATTTCGTAAGCAATGGTTTATCGCTGCTTACAGGTATACTTTAAATTACCTATAACATTTGCAGCGTCCGCCTCCATTTTGCTTTATTGGACTTTTAACGTATATATAGTTGCGACACCTGTTTCCACATTATCCACCGTTAAAGAACATAAAACGTTTTGAATTCTAAATTTGTATACACACCTTAAACGCGTAGTAGATAATGTTTAATTGTTCAATTCTCATAAATAAGTTACAATTAAAAAAAAAAAAAATTCCAAACATTCGTTTTAACGAAAAATCCATTTTTATAATTGAGTGCCCCCTGAAGTTTTTTTTTTGTTTTTTTACATATTTGAGCCTCTTAAGTTATTATATCAATCATAGTTTAAATGAGAAAAATATTTTGAATTCAACTTTCAGAATTTGTCGGACATTATTTTTTATTGATAATTTATGAAAATGACTTTGTTGGTCTCGGAAAAAACTGTTTTCAATTTTATTTCCAGAATTTCCACTCGGTATTGAAAATTATGCTGTTGCACACAGTAAGTATATAAAATCTAATCGCAATCCTTTATAACAGATTAATAACATATAATATCATTATACTTATAACAAAAAATTATAACATATATAATATTTTTCACTCGCTGTTAATACTGACAATTTCTGTGGAGTTGTATAGTTGTAAATAAATTCAATTGTACCTACTTACCAAACTCGAGTGGACAAAAATGTGTAAATAATTCAAACCAATTATCGATACCGATTTTTAAAGTCGTATACCAACTTATAACAACATATTATATACTCTACAGTAGATTATAAAATGTAAATATTAACAAAATGTAAAATTATAGTTCCTATATTATATTATATGAATCATCTGATTAATGTTTTAGAAGAGATAAGTGAACGAATTGAGAGTAAGTGATTTTATTTTGCCGTTTTATGGACAAAATATTATAGAAAAGATTATTGATCGTGCTATTTTAAGTTAATTCCCACATTCTGATTCAATAAATTCTTCATTTTAATAGGTTTTGGTGTTTTAGACTGTCCTTCCAAAATAAATTTGCCATCATCTTTCTCTTTGCTATACAAACAAAAAAAAAACTTTCCCTTTTCAATGTCACTTCCCTCCTATGCATTTGTGGTTCCATCGCCCCTTTAAACATAGGTTTTTGAATTTAATTATTTCGTAACGTGATATTAAATTAGACTAATGCGAAACTTTAACTAACGAAGATGTATACTATAATAGTGGCGACGCAGAGGGCTGGTCAAAAGCAAGCCGTGTATAGTTTATAGTTAATTGGTTCATATGGTAATTGGTGGTTATGATTACTAATTGAACCATTGACCGGACCGTTTTTAAAACTGATTTGGCATCACTACTGCTCATAAATGCGATACTTTAGACAAATCTTAATTAAAAATTATTTTAGAAATCTCGTGCAAAAATAATAAATTGGTTATAATACGTATGTCCTATAACGTAGAACGTTCAAATTGCGAAATCGAAGTTTTTTTTATGCCTATATTAAAAATGCCTAACATTTGATACTAGGATTGTACAAATCTGAATCAAGTTATTTTATTGTTACGGTTTTAAATATCCCATTTACCTGTCGTATAGTAATATTGTATTATTTATTTGTTCTCCTTAATTTAGATGTAAACTGCGGTAAGTATAATTATTATATAAATAAGTAACTAATAATTATTTAAATAATTTGGCGGTAAGTCGCTTATCCGGCCAGCTCGGGTGAATGTATATTGTACATTGTATTTATATCATAATATACAATTATAATATACGAGTGTATAATATTATGTGACCGGAAACAATGTTGACAATATTATTAGGAAATTATGGTAATTCTTTATAATTATTATGGTAAAATATTGATATCATTGCCAAATGAAGATTACTACTAAGAATGACTATTAAGATACATAATTATTCACAATAAATACAAATAATGTTTCTACAGATACTTATTATTTAAATCTGATTGAAAAATGACGAAATCTGTTTTCATTTTTTTAACGGTACTCTTACTTTGATCACAATCTTAAATCAAAAATGATTGTGCCAAATTAAAGACAATAACATTTAATATGTTTTCACACATAGAGATTTTTTTATATCTTTAATATGTAATTTCAAATTAAGGAAATTAATAGGAAAACAATGCGTGTTATCATCGCCGACGGAAACGATTCCATTTACTATGGGACATGACATAGTTTCATAAACTTTCAACGGTCAACATGTCCTGTAACATATATTTAGATTATTCATTTCAAAAAAAAAACAAAAAAATTATGTATATTCAATTATTAAGTTGTTCGTGGCTGAGCCATGTGCAGTATATTTTGTAATGAGAATAGTGTTAAAAAAGTTTCAAAATCCACTGTTATTTGATTTTAAATTTCAATTTGTTTATATCTATAACTTTTTTTTTTTAGACGAATGTAAATCGTACGAAGAGTATCTCAACGATAAGATTAAAGAAGGTATATTTATGTATATTTACATAAATTTAACGACTCTAGATTTTATTTTCGTCGCTGGCACAACTACTTTCTATTTTGGATATTGTTTTTCCTTTGCATTGATAAACTTTTCAAATTCTTTTGAAATAAAAGTTTATATTATATTGTGTAAAAACGTTTTGATTAAAACCCTTTGAGACTTTGTGGTGTTATTATAGTGAAACCACCTATTTTGTGTTTTTTTTTATTTGTAATATGAGTGCTAACTTTTAATATTTTCCAAGAAAAACATTTTCAAAAACAATGTGTATCTTAAAGGGTTAAATTCGTCTAAATCTCTGAAAAATAAAAAATAAACTAAACCAAACAAAATAAAAAAAGATGGACATACTACGCACGATGGGTGGGCCACTGTAGTAGGTGAAAAATTGGAAATGTAGAATAAAGAGGGAAATTAAATGATATCTGTATGCAATGATTAATTATTGCTAAAGAAAAATGATTCTTAGTGGAATTCGGAATATTAACGATTTTCTTCAAAATTTGATATTAAAATTCTTATAAAAAAATAATTCTACACTTAATATTTATTTTTTGTCGACTACAAGTACGAATTATAATAAACCTCATATTAAATTGTCATTTAGCATGCAACAGCATTCCTGTTTGCTTTAACCATTTTATCCACAAAGTATCTACCGAAGACAAATTATATAAACAAACTCGCAAAATTAAAATAAATAGCTTAAAAATGGCTAAAATATTTTTAAAAAAATTACCATCTAGAAAAGGCAAATATAAATTTTCTATCCAAATTTCAAATATATATGAATATGTTTAACCGAATCACAACAAAAACCAAAATTGAAAATAATAAATTCCGAAAATTTTCCTGACTTTCTTGCGTTTTCCTTAGTTTTTTTCAATTATTATTAATTTTGTTATATTATGAAATGGCATTGTTAAAATACCATCCAGATAAAGTTCCCTTTCAAAAAAGGTATAACACTTGTAAATCGATTAAAAAAGCAGATTAAAAAAAAAAAAATTAAAAAAAGAGATGATACTGGGGATGGGAGTGGCCACTTTTGTAGGTGAGAAGTTGGGAAGGTAGGATAAATAAGGTTATTTCATTTATATCTGTATGAAACGATAAACCATAGCTCGATGAAAAACGATTCCGAGCACAGTTCGGTAATACATAATTTGGAGTGCCTTATTTTTTTCTGCGATTTTCGTTTAAATTTGATTTCAAAACACTTATAAAAAAAAAAAAAAAATCGTGATGATTTTGGACATTTTACTACGTCCAATATAAGTATTATTACCAACTTTCAAGTCTCGACGTGTATTTATAACTGAATTACGACAAAAAAATCTCCCAAAAATTAAAATTCCTTAAAAGTAGCTCAGAAATGTTGGCGATGATACCGTAAGAAATTAAACCAAAATGGCAACAAAAAAGGTATCTAGTGATTTTTCGATTAAATTATTTGTTCTGGTAGAGAACGTCGTCAGTGTTTTTATAAAATAATGAAATCGTGAAATTGTACATTTTCCTACGTTTTTTCCCACTTAAGAGCTTTCATTTAAAATATGACGTCGAAAATCAAAAAAATTACCACTTCAAAGTAAAATTTAAACAACTTGAGCTTTTAGAAAAAGTGCTACACTTATCGGAGCAAGTTTACTAGTAAAAATCGTGTCTACAGACTAGAACAAAGAAGAAAAAGAAGTAAAAATAACCAGCAGTGTAAAACAAATAGTTCCCTCGCTACGCTCGGAGTCTAAATCAAACAATAAACATCATTGTAAAACCAATACAATAAAATGAAAAGTCACATAATTGTGACTTTAAAATAATTAAAAAATAATAATAAAACAATTTGTATTTAGTTACTACTATGGAAAGTGTATCGGATTGGTGTAAACAGACACATGGTCAAGATGCCACAGGTATGTTTATATAAACAATATATAATATGATACCTAAATTGAATGCGTTTTTTTTTTTTTTTGTATTGTTTAGAAGAATCAAGTAAGAGTTACTTTATAATAAATCATTGTATACAACCATATAGATATAGATATTTAAATTACTTATACCTCTTTGGCTGTGCAGTATGTGTAACAATAATAAAAATAACTAATACAGGTATTTTGAAATTAGTACATGCAGTAACATAATTTTAGGGTACCTTCAATATGATATTATTTTTTGATCGAAATGTGAATAAATAAAATCTGCATAATTTCAATAAATATTAACTACTTATTTAGTTATTTATGTACCTATATTATTCGAACATATTTTAAAAATAATATTATAGATAACTGTATAATTGATGTATAAGCAACATTATTTTCAGTGGCGTATTTAATGAGTGACCTGAAGGTCAAACCTCCGCCCTCCTCCCAATTTTTGATAACTATGCAAAAAATATTGATAAACATACCATGAGTTGATAGTTGTGGAATCTATGTTAATATCTGTGGGAGGATATTGTCACGAAAATCCTAAAAAAAATACGCTACTAATTAAACGTATTCTAACTATTTTAATTAAATATTGAAGTATTATCAATATTTAACTTTTTAAAAGATGTTTTTATAAATAGTTACGATTTTAAGAAAACTTTAAATTCTTGGTATACATAAAACCAAACCGATTTCCGTTCGTAAAAAGATTTTCGACGGTAAAATTTTTTTTTTTTTTTTTAATCAATGATTTTACAATATTATTTTTTTGATCAAAAGGATCAAAAAAATTTAAAAATTAAAAAAAAAAATAATAATAATAATATGAACGAGAGTAACTTCTGTTTTGTATCGATATTGTAAGCCGTAGTTCACATTGTACACATTTCGTATAATACGTGGAGTGAGAAAGATTTTTAGTTTACATTTACCATATTATTATAATATTACAGGTATATTCTCAATCCTCGTAGGAATTTTTTTAAATTTTTACTTCTAATAATCGAATATTATAGACCTACCTATACTTAAATCTATACCTGTTTATTTGTTATAACAACATATTATATTTTCAATTCCAGATTGTCTAAGTAAGATTGATGTTTATAATTTCCTATTAATTATTATTATATCGTATTATTATTGTATTATTGTATTATTATATGTATTAGTTGGATAGTTCGTCAGACCCCTTTTTAAAATTTCTACATTTACTCAATGGTAAATAGTGAATTGTATAATAATCGTATATAGTGTGTTTCAATTTTCCGTTATCTTCAATATACAAAGTTTATAGACCATATATAATGTATAAACCGTGTTTAATTTATACCAACGACCAGGTACGATTGATACCACGGACCGATTCGATTAATAATTATGGCACGAAGTGTTATCATTGAATATAGTGAAATATCTACTAAATAAATCCTGGATACGCCTCTGTAATATACCAATATCTGTTCTGTAGTTCAATTTACTTACTTATAAGTTATAAGTTATAATATAAAGCAATTGTTTTTACATTTTGAGCGATAGAGGCGCAGGGTTTTTCGGGCTTCTGTATACAAGGAAATTCTCCCTAAATCCGGCTCTAGATTCGGTAAATAACATTATATAGTCCGTTATAAGTAGGGAACCTAATTTATAATTTAGTTTGCAATTCGTAAATGCCAAACCTTGAATAAAGCACACCTGTATAGAATAATTTATCTATCTAAAAGTTTATTGAAAATGTGTTAAGTTAGTTCTCAACACTGTCTATCCAGCGCGACGGAAATGGCACGAAGTTAAGTAAAAAAAAAAATTAAAAAAAAATAGTGTGTAACTGTAATTAAAAATATAAATAAATAGTCTCTAACGTATAGTAACAGGAAACCGAATTGCACCATTCAAAAACCGTCCTAATTTTTGTTAATCCATCGGCCAGCTCTACAGGGCAAACGGCTGAACATATAAAGTCGTATAAGGTATCGATCGATCAGAAATATTGCGCAAATGGGAACAGGGGAACACGTAAGCAGATTGGTTAGATGGATTAAAAGTTACAACAAAAAATGTTAAAGTACTTTCAAGTCAGATTCTTTTCATGCTAAAATATCTACTCTCGTTGCTGCGGCAACGACGACGTATAAAATATAATGGTCCCTCGATCCGCCACTTATTCATCCACCTAAACGATATGTTGACTAAGTATTTAAATTTAAAATTGATAATCTTATTTGTCGTAATTTTTTATTAACTTGGCTTTTTTTTTTACACGGATTTATAACAAAGCGTTTTTGGTGTGATATAAAATACAAACAAAACATATGTAAATATATTTTTGGCTATAAAGAAAATATTAAGAGCTTTATTTGTAGTTTTTTTTCCAAATTTTTAACAAATACAACCATAAACATTAACTTTTGTAACGTTAACCATTCAAATTAACTTGTGTATAATCTTAAATAAACAATTTACATAATAATTTTTATTATTGTAGCAGAGTATATAATACCGAATTTTATAATTTCTCACGTTTAAACAGATAGATTCCGTAGGTTATTTGATGTAAATACATCCGATAAAGGTAAGTATACAATCGTGTTTACATAATTTGTAAATCAATTTATTAAATATAGGTATTAAATTCAAACATTAAGCTTTTAATCAATCTATTAAAAAACAATTAATACAATGATTCACATTCCTGTTATAAATTATATACAATTTGAAAATAAAAATAAAACAAAATATAATAATAAACAATAATAAATAAAATCATTTTTTCTCTATGTTTTCCTACATTTCATTTTTTATATTCAGTCCTCTTTTACATTTTGATTGTGATATATCTGATGATGAATTTTTAATTGAAAACCGATCGTATAATACACTTATAATGCTCCGGGCGATGTATTCATTCATTTATTTTTTTTTTGTTTTTATAAATTTATCAATAAAATATTTGTATATTTATTTAATATAATGACTTATCATCTATACGGTACCTCAACCTCTCACCTACAACAGTAGCACACCCATAAGCAATATTAGTTTTTTTTTTGAAATTATTGTTTTTATTAGATTCAGGAATACAGGTCTACGTCAAACTATTCAACGGCAAGTAAAACGATAATATTGTTGAGCCTTTTACCAGATTGATATTTAGAGACTTTTGTTAGATGTACTGTTAGAAAGTTATGATTTTTTTTAAATGTTTTTTTTTAAGTGTTTAATATTGTTAACTATATTCGAATTCCAGAAACCACTGATGAAAATGATACGTGTAAGATTACCCACTATTTAATTTTCCAAATTATGAATAAATATAGAATACAGTGTATAATTGTCTTGTGTTTTTTCCATTATAATTTTTAAAAAAAAAAAAATGTACCCAATTCAAATTCTTAAAATCAGCTCCCGAATAGATAGAAAAATTAATGATACTTGAAACTCCCTGAATGATTTTCGATTGAAATAATCGTCAGTTTTACTTGTGCAGTATATTTTACCGCAAGTTGAACCGATTTGTTCTTATAGGCTGTAAATAGAGTTTTATTTGTTTTTATCATACGGAAATACGTCGCGTAATGGCAATATTTAGTAAAATATAAATGTTACAATTACGTACACAATATTTAAATTTATATTAGTTTAATATAACACTACTCAAAATAGTATTTCTTCCAGCCGACAGTAAGATACAACTTGTCACAGAATTTTATTTGATGAACCATATTCAAAATGCAGCTGAAAAACTTTCCAAAAGTGATAATATAATGATTACATGCTAACTAATTTTAGATACATTTTATAATGCTTCATAATGCATAATTAAAATATTATACTTTTTATTCGCAATAAGTATTAAATAATTAATGGGGATTGTCTGTTATCAAATATTATACAAATCTTCTTTACAATAAATCAAATTTTACCATGAGTAGGCGACTCACTAGGCGTAAGGGAGGACAACTCCTTCCCATCGATTTGGAATTTGAATATTAGAATTTAGAAAATCAGAAAATTACAATTTTTGTTAAAAATATACAAATTAAAATTAATAACCGTTTAAATATTTTGTAACGAACACATGCAGCGCATAATGGTTATAATTATTTCAAATTAAAAAAAAAAACTATTTAAAATAATGCTTTTTTAATTTTGATCGAAAATTGGGGTTCTCTCCCTATCCTGAAATTTCGTCTGTAGGCGTTAATTAAATAAAATGTTTTTGATTAACCGTTCTTAACTATAAACTACGGAGTATGTAGTATGGCTACTTTTAAATTGCATTATCTTTAAAAAAGCTTTAGTTTATTTATTTTATTATTGTTTTGTTATATATTTTCTAGTGACTAGTGATGTTATTAAAAATCATGCGGGTAAGATTAGGTTAAGTTAAGTTTGGTTAGACAAATTAAAAAAATTTTAAATTAAAATATTATATTTTTTTTTTTTACTTTAAGATTCTGCAGTTCCAGAAGTTCCACAAAGAGTAACAGCAAAATGTATGGTTATATGCAGCTCTATAATTATATTAATTAATATTCGAGAAAATGACGAAAACTTGGTTCTTTAGGTTAAAAAAGATTAAAAGATTAAAAATAAGGTTGTCATTGATAACCGTTTTTATTTATTTTTTGTTATTATTAAGTTTTTATTTTTTTTTAATCTTCTTCAAACAATCGTTGCCATGACAGCGTACATTTTTGTAATCATTTACCATAATATGATATTATACATTGTTGACAAAGCAACACTATTAACTGAATTTCGCTCAGAATCGTTTTTTCGATAGCAACGGTTTATTGTTGCTTACAGATATACTTTGAATTCCATCTGTATCCTACCATCCCAACTTTCCAACTACAACAGTGGCTGCACTCACGTGTGAAGTATGTCCGTCCTTTATAATAACATTTCTAAAAAAATAAATTATTTTTCATACGAATTAGATTATAAAACGAAAATTATTTTTTAACATTTTATAATAAGCCGCTGATCAGCATATCTTTACCCGTATCAGTATTTACGAATGAAAAAATAAAATAAGAATGTATCTTTTCTCCCGCGGCCCCGTCCACGTGTTTCTTTGCTCTTGACAACCGAATTAGTTATATAGTAATAACTAAAGACCGGATTTAATTGATATTGCAACTTTTTTTTGAAATAAAGATAAATCAGATCTGATTAAATATACAGCCGATATATACTAAAAATAGTCTGCCTATTTAATTTTATAATGCAGCGTTTTTTAATTTTTGAATTTTTTGCAAATTTCCAACGTATTTAAATCATAGGCGTTCATCGTTCGTACGGAATTTTCTAGAAGCTCGGAGAGCCCGACGGGCGATAAACGTCTATATATATATATACATATATATATGGTGGCACTATCAAGAATAAATAAATACAGAAAAGAAATGTCGGATACCTTTACCACTCGAACCTTATTATTACAAGATGGGAAACATGGTTAAATGCTGCACTTTTATATGAAAATAATTTTTAAAAGTTTAAAAACGTGATTGAAAGTTTAACAGATGACGCTATAAATGTCGAAAAGCTGAAACAGCTTGTACTAACTAATGCAGTCAAATGTGGTTTAGTATTCATAAAATTACACTTATCTGAATTATCCATGAATCTTAAAAATTTGAAAGAATCTAATAGTGAACTACTGAAAAGCATGGATATTTTTAGAAAAATTGAAGATATTTTAACAAAAATTCCTGGTCCAAATAGAAAAAAAAATTAATGAAAAATATATGTATGTAATCGACAAAAATGAAGGGTATAAAACTTACTATGAAGTCATATTAGGTAAAGCAAATGTTAATTTATATATGATGCCTACTTTATTAAATTTTTTTAAATGTACACCAATAACTAGAGTAGACGTAGACCGTAGTTTTTCTTTGTACAAACATATTTTAAGTAACAGAAGATTTAATTTTAATGAAAATAATTTAGAAATAAATCTAATTATCAATTTTAATTAAAAAAAAAGTAACATTTATCTAATTATTTTTGTATAACTTTTGCACTTTTATTGTGCAATTTATTATGCAGTTTTTGCGTACATAATTTTAATATGCGATTTTTGTGTGTTTTAAATGCAATTAAATCCAAACAACGACAAACAAAATAAAAACAAAACAAACGACAATTGCAATTGTGGTCATAACAACATAATTATATATTTTTATTCTAGCGGAATACCAATTGTACGAAGAACTTCTTATCATAGAGAGTAAAAAAAGTATGGATCATATTATATAAGCTGATGTTTGTTCGTGACCGAAACTAATCATAATTAATAAAATCAATCAGGAATGGTCAATCGGGAGTGAAATCAAGGGAATAAAACCATCATTAAATTAGTTTTTTTTTTTTAATATTTTTTATAATATATATATATATATATATATTATGTATATTATATAAGTCATTTTTTTGTTTAGTTTTATTTCTCTTGATATCTACTTTCCCTTGGCAACAAGAGAAAATACCCGACTGACGCTACTCCGATCAAAATAGATTTTCCTTTGCAACGATTTACCGTTGTATACAATGTATACATTTAATTACCCTGTATATCCTTAACTAACGTTCCTAATTATTCTCCTACCGCAATGGCTTACGTATTTTTTTTTTTTTTTTTCTTATAGTTACTTCTATTAAAAATCCAAAGGACTGGTGTAAGGAATCTGACCAGTACGTATCAATCTAACCTAACCTAACCTTAACGGTATTATAATATTAATGTACTATACGTCCTATCAATTTAACAACATTTCAGCATTTAGGTGAAACCTAGTATCATCATTGACGAACAAAATAAAACAATTTCAAATCGCCATAATTAATTCAAAAATGGTCGGAATAGTTTACAAATCTGATCACTTCTAGACAGGGCTAATAAAATAATTCGGAGAAACTTTCAGATTTCTACGCATTTGATTGACAAACAAAAAAATAAATAAATAAAAATATAATCAAACCGTTATTGCGTATATTAGTACGTTTTTCACGGCGGTTTTTCCCATTGTCAAGAAAACTAAATGGAAAATCAAAAAAAATGCATTTAATGCACGAACTAGATTACACTTGCAACAAAATAAAAACGTGTCGTTTAAAGTTTTCTGAAAATTTGTATAATAATTCAAGTTTTTAACCTATTTTGCTAATTGCTGCACGTATAACTTCAACGTAACGGATATACCCGTATGATTTTTATATCGATTGAAATATAGATGTAGTTTTAAGTTTAATCATCATAGGAAACCGGCAGAATCCGTAACAATTATTGCTATATGCTGTGGCATACGGCTAAAATTTAAAAGTTTAATTTTTATATTTAATTTTAAACAATCTGTTTGATGAAAGAATGCAATTTTCATTATAACATAGTTTATTTTTACTCGTTTCACTATAGATATATCAAAGAAACCATCGGAGAGTCGTCGAAGAAAATGTTGAGCTAAGCACCAGCGTGATAAAATACCAATATCCAGTTTCTCAACGCGCACAATTTATAAACGTACATTGAGGTGCTTGTCGTAATACGCGAAACGGTTAAAATGCCGTTTAAACGTAAAATATAATTACGTTGAGTATATCACTCCATTGACTTTAAGTGTATTTTATAATTTAGTTTTATTTCACGTGGACCTCAAGTCCAATAAACACAATCATATACCGCACTATTATGTATCACATTTCGTATTGCATTTACACAACTATACAACATAATGTATATGTAATTGAACATATAATTGTAAAAATTTTAAAAATTACGACAAAAACATATTATTATACTCTTAATATTTTATATAGTTTTATAAAGGTTAAAATTAATAAAAAAAATTAATGTTGATTTTTTCATCTGGTTTTGGATTACGCAGCACACGCGCGTCTAACAATATTTTTATATTGTACTATTATGCTTAAAACCGTTTTAAAACCCAGTAGCGCCGCCGTATTCAAACGGAGCTACCGAAAAGAAACGTAACTATGATTCAAACTATACAAATCGGCCGTTGGCGACTCGAATCTACGCACGAGGCCTTTATTTAAAAGTGATCGAAATCTGCAGTAGTTTGTCCAGTTCAGTCATGAATCAAACATTCCCTTCACCGTTAATATTTTGCAACACCGCCGTGAGTTTTCTTAGTGATTCACTGATTCCGACGATAGTCTACTGCAAACAAGAGTGTGGTTACAGGAGAAATGCGAGTTCATACATCGGAAGAAATCTATTTAGGCATTGCAGATGGCTTGCACGAAAATTCTGGGTTTTTTTTTTTCACTTAACAGAATCGCGTGAATAATACGGCCTTGCGGTACTTTTAGAAATGGAATGCTCGTGTGGTTAGGTTCGATGACGGGGATTTACGCGAGACGGATTTCTGTTCAGTCTTAAAGCTCTTAAATCGTGTGCTTGTACTGCAATTATACTGTACGAAAGTAATATAAATACTATTTGCTTAAAAAATTACACGCCACCAGGGCCCTTTCGGTTTTTGTTTTGTTTTTTTTTTTTTTTGAGCACACAGCCATTTATAAACGTCTCTTCGGCCCGTCGACGACGGTTCGCGGTGGCGAAGATTAACGCGGCCGTGAGACCGTTTCGCAGTTGTGTTTGATCTGCCGAAATGGGAAAAACGTGTACGCGCCGGCATTAATTTTCAGACGCGACGGCCGTCGGTCGCGTCATCGTCGTCGTCGGCCGGTCCGGTAATCGCGGGTCGCGCCGTGCGAATCGATTGCTATTTGAACAGCTTCGTCGTCATTGCAGTTATAAGCCCTCGCGCGATCCAAGGGGCGTAAATTCCCCTCTCCCCCCGCCACACCCCGCCCACGCCAGAGGACACACGTTTTCTGCTGTGGTGTAAATCACGCACACCGATTTCACACCGTGCATACGCGTACACTCGATACGCACACATTTAAAATATGCGGATGTTCCACTGGGATCATTGTATATTATTAGTTTGAGACGTTTTGTTTTAGATTGCCGACTGCGGTTAAAAGAAAAAAAAAAAATACTAACAAAACACTGATACACCGGTTTCGGGAAATAAACTCTGTAGCCCGCACAGGGAACTGAAATTCAGCACACCATCTCGAAATTTAAATTCGATATAGGTATCAATCAATAAAACGTAAAACACTCATAATAACAAAAAATATCGAATTTTTTGTTTGGAAAAATGTAAGTAACGAGGTAGCCTTTGAATATCATAATATTCCCTTTATTTTTCGTCACACTTATGTTTGGAAATCTATTAAAATTAAAAATGCATATTTTAAATTTTGAGCGCAGCGAGGATTATATTAGTTCTTCTATGACGTGTGTTTTTTTTTTTGTATCTGCGAACAACTTTTTTACCAGAAATGTTGGTTCAATCAAAAACCTAGACAAGAGAGTGTGGTGTGTGATATTTTGAATCTATATTTGATGCCTTATGAAGGTTTTTTATGATTTTTCTTGTAGTTTTATAAACAATTGGTAAAAATCGCGAGAGAAACGGAAAGTTTGCGTACATAATAGTTTCGTAGTTATTCAATTTTGATTTTTTTTTTTTTAGGTCTTTTGTTCCTATACCGATATGAAGTATACTTGTCCCGTCTGACTTGTTCTATTTAAAATTTATACAAAAATTGTATAAAAAAATAACATATTTTCTTATAATCTTATTATTGTTGACGTTTTTTTTTTTTTGTAAGTACCTTGCATCGTTGCATCTTAGTATATATTACTCGAATATAAGTATTAATATTAACGCTTAGTATATTAAATAACAATAATCGTAAATCATCACACACGTGTGTGGATTTATTGGCATTCACTTTTTTTTTCACAAAATGTAACCAATATAGAGGAAGTGTAATATGTATAACAAGAGTATATAGGAGTGAATAGGAGTGAAAAATCGTCTTTTAAAGTAGTTACTCGTATATAGTTCTGAAGTTTGGGTGTTAAACAAATCGGGACAAAATCTTCTGGAAAGTTTCGATATGTGGTGCTGAAGAAGTATAATGCAAGGGAATTGGATAGAACGAAAATAAACGACTGTAGTGTATAATATATTAAGCGAAGTAATGAAACCAGAAAGATACTTAGTACGATTAAAGTTAGAAGATGGATTATGTTCTAAGACCAGTGTTGTATAGAGTTACATTTTAAAATATCTAAAGACAAAGATAAAATATAATTATCTAGAATGAAAGATCTATAACATTTTTATTATCTAGTTAAAAGAAGATAATTTCGTTTCAAAAAATATTAGAAATATACCACAATTGTTAAACATCCATAATTCATAAAAGTCGTGTGATCGATGAAACATATATATATATATCTATTAGGTAGTTTGATACTCCGGTTACAACTTATTTCTCAATTTTCTAAATAAGATAAAATATAAAAATATGCCTATAGCAGATAATTTATCTAAATAAAATTGTTCGGTACACAATGATAACCTTCTTCATCTACGTATTATAGTATAAGGAAAAATAAAAACAAATGGCAGAGACGGAGAACGGCCAAGAACATAATTAATCAAAAATATGATTTTTGATCATCAACGAACTACAGGGAACCAAAAAGTCTATTAGAGTCTAGTAAACCAACCTTAGGGTTGAATACCGGAAAGGAAAAGATAATTCGTATATTTCGGTCAAAGTAGAAAATCGGTCAATGTGCACGACGCCCGATTTTCGTGGACTTATAGTAGGTTGAAAAACACACATATTGTCCGAACAATGCATACAGTGCCTAAATCGAATTGCGGGAAAACTAGATAAAATATTGACATCAATTTATCTGCGTTATGCGTAATTCTATTTCTTATATCTTTGCATAGAACACTAGAATCTGGCGATTTCCCTTTTCTTTTACCGTATAAGTCGTAGTAAAAAAAAAAAAAAAATACATATACTAAATTACGGACAAAAGCCGAAATCGGGAAAATCTCAGAAATGCCCAGGTTTCAAAGTTTCTACGATACTCGGGCGAAACGTCATAGTTCGGTTTTTGCCCAGTTGTGACCGATCTCCTTCGGGCAAATCTGTAACATAATTTTTTTAATATAAATTTCAACTTTTCACAGTAGGAGGTAGGTACCATATTAATAATAAGACAATATTCTACGATTAACAATATTACAATACTAGCTCTCCTCGGTAATAAATTGGTCCTTGCGCGGAAATATCTGGTTTTCGACATACATATATAGTGATAATATATAATAAACATTTGGGCAAAACCGTAGCTACTTTGGTTGTAAGATTTTTTTAATAAATGTATTCAATGGATTTATTTATTTATAAAATAAATGTATGGGGCGTTATAGATTTGTCCGAATGAGGTTGGTCACAACTGCCTATTTTTGGGGGTGAAACAACTACCTACTTTTGATTTTAAAATGAGAACCTATATTAGAACTTTCACAAATAGATGGAGTAGTAGTTAAAATAAATTTCGGTGTTTAAATTTGTAATTTCTGTCAAACCGTTTACAAGATATTCCACTTTTAAGTTTGGGTCGGGGGAGAGTATTTGAGCATCATTTGTACGGTGTTTTAAGAATGTACCACAACTCTCCCCCGACCCAAACTTAAAAAAGGAATAGGTATCTTGTCAACGGGTTGATTACAACGGATTATTCAATATAGTCTGTGCTGTATTAAATTCACTTAACAGGATCGACGAATCCGGATAGTGTCCTTTTGCTCAGGAATTTTTGTATACTATGTCCAGACAACGTAGACAAATTTAATTATTAAAATGATCATATTTTTAAATTGCCCAAAATGTCCGAGCATCTCGTATCCAGACGAGATGTTCAGTGTAACACGTTTATTACGCAGTAGGTACCTGTTTAAAAGAAAACTCGTTAAAAGTGAGGCGTTCTCTAATAATTTACATAATGCTATAGATTTACGAATTTATTTACTCGTCGCGAGAATAAAAGTGCAATGGCTGACCCCATTTTGGGCGTGGGATGAATAAGGCGAAGTGGTAGACGATCATATTATTTTGTTCGTAAATCCTTTTTACGGCTCCCCGATGCCACGTGCCGTCCGCACGGTTTATTTTCGTTTATGATGCATCCACTAGTAAAAATAATGTTTAGTTTTTTAATACTATTAAACATCATATCACTACCGTAAAAAATAATATTTTTACGAGTAGTATATACACGCTGTCGATTGTTTTTATTATTATTTTTTAAATTGATTTTATTCTAATGTCATTCGGACGTGATAAAACACCGGAGAGATACGCTACAATATTTAAATGATAGTAAAATATAATAGTGATATTATAATATTTACTTAGGTGCCATACGCTTAAATTTACAATGCTGCTAATAAATCTACAATTTCGCAAAACACAAACATTCCCATTCCGGAAAAACAATGTTATGTTTGTTAACCATACCATTGTTGGTATAAACAAATAATGCATAACAGCATATTCACGGTCGGACTGCCGACTGGGTATTGAAGGCCTCGCCAACACGCGATGATTGACATAAAAAAAGGCATCGGGTCTAATTATCTTTTGCATATAATACGAGTTTCACAGAGCTTCGATTGAAATCGTACCTTTGAGCAAAATATATAGGTCACATATAATTATAATATTGCAGGGATAACATTTTACATTACCTATAATAATATACTAGTAAGACCCGTTGATTTATAAACATGCATGGGATCCGTAAAATATAAAGGGCTGCCGTTCAATTTTACTCAGTAGTCAACAGTACATCTATAGTTTTATATTATATTAGCTATATTATACATACCTCTTCACAACTTAGTTTTTAACTTTTTCGTACTTACTATTATTAATTATACATTTTTCATATGACCTCCCCGGGTACCGAATGGCTTTTTCCTGTCTTTGTCTTAGGCGCACCCTTGCAACACAGGAATTTAGACGTGTTCTATTAATTACCACATACCGATTGATGTATTGAAGCGATAAAAATTCTGAACACAGATTTAAATTTGTTGTCGAATTTACTCGAGATCGACTTTCCCATTATTTCGATTTTTATTTCAATTTCCCCAACAATTAAAATATTCCACTAGTTTAGCTACTCTTTTTCTTTTTGTTGCGGTTTTTTTCAGGACATACCGGCGATAAAAACAAAAAGCGGAAAAGTCGATTTCGATAGTAGACTTAACGACAAATTCAAATCCGCTTTCCGAGTTCTTATCACTTCCACTAGATCAATGCAGGGTACGTTGGAAATAAAACACGTCTATAAATGGGATGACACACGATTCCGCACAATACACCTTTTTTCCTACACGATTCTGCGTACAAATTGCTGCGGCGTTGCCATTTATAGTAAAAAATATACATATAGGTAATAATTATAATATTAATTTTTATCATATTTCATTGTAATAAAAATAAACGAATTATGATTATTTTTTTTCAAACGCTAAAAAAGATTAAATAAATATAATACAAAAAAATCACAATTGTTTTCCTTGATACCTAGGACCTACTTCTGATAAAAATTGAATGATATCAATTTTATAAGATTTATACTTATTGTATGCATTCATGGTGAATTCCATACGTTCTTTTTCTTTTGCGTTCAAAATTTTCTCATCATTAAATAATGTAATCGATTTGATTTTAGTTTCAATTTCCAACTGAAATTCCATCAATACTTTTAGGACTAAATAAATATGTGGGTGAGGGTGGTGAAATCGGGCGTTATATGTACGATGAAAACTTTCAGAAGCATTAGATGTCCTATAAAATATAATTAATAATAATTATAACTGACAGAAATATTGGTGTTGATTCAACTAATGTTACCTTGGATTCATTGATGGCTTTTCTGCCCACAATTCTGGTGAAAATAAGCATTCATCTACAATGTAATTTTTCAAAATATAATCAGTGAACAAATATCCTACATCGTTGGGGCAAACACTTAAAAGTTCGGTGGATGTTTCATTTACTTCATTTACTGCAACGAAAGGTAAAGCGAAAAATTGCTTCAACTATTTTCCAAGTTCATCATTTGATTCCATATATGCTTTTCTTAAACTAGATTCACTTTGAATCTATAAACAATTTATAAAATTAATAAATAATAATAAAAAAATAAAAAAAACCTATAAATATAAATATACATTAATATTGTTTACCTTACGCCACCAAGATTGTCCTAAGTGAAATCTGCAAGCCATTATTTTTACATTCGAGAAAACAGATAGCACTGCTTTATGTGCACTGATTTCAAGGTCCAAATGTATTATTTTTTTTTAATATTTAATATTTGATCACTATAAAGTTGTCGAAAATAATTCCATAAATTTACGTAGGTATTTTGAGTTTTGTCTTTTAAAAAAAAAATATACTAGTGGTAAATAAAATTCATTTTTATAACTATGTATTGAGTACAGTTGTAAAAAAATGCTTAGGTGAATAATTAAATGTTCCGTCACAAAATAATTCTGAACAAAATTGAGCCAAGAAATTAATGTTTTGAACAGCTGTAAGGCAAGTAAAATTTTGATTTTATTGATTTTTAAACATGAAACGTTCATCAGTTTATAAATTCCTCATTTGTTGTAAAACATCGTTTAAGGATATTGGAAGTACAGGAAAATATTTTCTACGTTTATCGAACATCGCTTCACTCGCAGATCCAACGCCATGGTGTCTTATTTCCGGTGACTCTGGAGTTTCCCAAGAGAAAATCCCAACTTCCAAACCTATCGGCCGAACATTTCTAAACACGAATGGTCATATACGATTCTAGATACCAATCTACCGAAAACGCCGTCATGCGTTTTCCCGTCAAATAGCTAACGATAAAACGGATAATCTGTTGAAACGTCACAACGGCAACGCCGCGTAGAAATCGTGCGCGGGGAATCGTCAATCGTCTGTATACACGTAATATAACGCGATAGGTCGCACGCGGGCTTTAGACGACGACAGAAAAAACACAGCTTCCGATCTCCTTAAGCCGCCCGGTGCCCGGGGGAGGGGGAGGGGTGGGAGGCATCGCGCAAGAGTAAAATAAAAACACTCGCTCTTCGCGCGTTACGATCGCGGACGCGCGCCCCCCATCGAATTCTGACGTTCGCACCCTCCCACGCCCTCCCCTGTCGCACGGCGGCTTGTGCAGGTACACGAGTACGACGGCGCGGACGGTGACGGCTGAAACGGCGCGATGTTTGGCCAACAGTGCCGCCGACCGGGCTCACCCTCTTTCTCAACATTGTGTATATTTTTCTTTCTCTCCGCGGCACGGTCCTCGCCGTCATAAAACACGTACGGCTTTCTGTCACACCGAAACGGTTTCACAATAATATATTATTATTATTGTTTTTTTTTTTTTTTTTTTTTCCACTCTCTTCTTACCGTTTTTATTATCGTATCCATTCGGCCGCGCGCGGAACATATGGCGTTTTCTCTATAATGCGCGGTGTACTGCGGCCAGTGCAGTGTGTGTATTTGTGTGCGTGTGCGTGTGTGTGTGTGTGTGTGTGTGTGTGTGTTTATTGTGAAACGGGGGAAAAAAAAAAAAAAAAATTTGTCGGTAGTAATAATATCCCGAGTGAATGTACATAAAAACGATACGCGTACATAATGTGCGCCGTCCGCCACGTTAATGTATATTAGCCGATAATAATATAATATGATTGTTTGAATATCCACGAACGCACTGTGTACGTATCGTTTTCGTCCCTTATTCGCGGCTATAGAGATTGCATCACATTCTCACGGCTCTGCGACGACGACGCATACCTTGTATGCCGGGTCCGGTCGCGGTATCCACCTGCACCGGTACATTATTTTCCGTCCGTCCGACATTATAATAATATTATATTGTTATTAGAGCTGTGTGAATTTCATAATGCACTGTGAAATACCCCGGAAAAATACACAAAGTGCCTGACGTCGCAAAAATGCACTTAAAGACCGGCTCGGTGCAATACTATTTGGAAAAAAAAAAAAAAGGGGGAAAAAAAACCCTCAACTATTGTTTTATTATTGTGTCAATATTAATCAAAAAATTAAATTAATTAAAAACTGATATTTTTCGCGCTTAAATGTTATAATATAAACAAATAATGATAATAATTAGAACGGAAATTGTTAAAAATACCACAAAATGTACTCATCGGAAATATTAAAATAATTTATTAATTTCGAAATTCGGTTCATTGTCGGACAATTCGAATTGTATATTGATACTAAAACAATTGTATTACATCTTGTGATAACCTGAAAAATAAAAAAGAGAGAGCAATAGGATGATATTATATGATATTATGAAATACGAAATTTTTAACTTTCGCAATCAAAACATCTCGGACGTTATCAAAAAAAAAAAAAAAAAAACAAAAACAAATATATGTTTATATTTTCGAACCGAAGTTTAAAAAATTCTCAACGGGACTAAAACAAAAAACTTCGCAATATTATAGAGTTATTTTGGCGTATCACACCAATAACCGAATATAAAATTCATAAGTACAAAGAGTACAAATAATACCTATATGTCGTACATATTATTGTGCCGTGAAAACGTTTTAACAATGGTTACAAAAAAAATGTAGCATTTATACCTATACCTATTACAAACACGCTAAAGTAAATTTTCGAAATTTCGAATAATCGTCTGGAGTACCTAAGAGGACGTTATACCCAAATTTACTATCTCAGTGCAACTACCGCGTAACATGCTTGCGCAGAATAAGTAAAATTAGCTTAATTTTGATTTTAGAGTAAAAGTATCTATTGTTAAATTTATATAGAGCAATATTTTGGAGGGAATGTCGTCGGTGTTTTTTGACTTATGAACTGTTAAAAAAGTTACGGTTGTTTAAAAAAGCAAAAAAATAAAGGTTTTTGTAGCTTTTATAATGAGCTGTATATTTTGAATAACAAAAGAACACCACGACATTCCCACCAAAATATTGTTTTCTATAAATTTCATCATTGGTACTTTTACTCTACACCTGCTTCTACTCTCTGAATCACAGGAAACACAACTAACAGGCGACGTAGTAAAATTACGTTCATGAGAAATTGTTCGAGGTCTGTATACTTAGTTTTTTTTTAAAAAAATGATGAAACATAAAGGCTTTTTTGTAAAGCTACATACAGACCTCGACAATATTGTGCTCTTCACATATGGTGTTTGGGTTCAATCACTAATTTCAATTTAAACGTCACAATTCACGTTGTAAGTAATGCCCGTTAGTTAAGCCTACCGAGATAGTAGATACGGGTGTGACGTTCTCTTAAGCGAACCTGCATTAATTATTGTTTCTGTTTTGCAAAACACGCTTCATAACATTGTTGAATGTAGGTGTATGACAATGGAGCGATAGCCCCCCTTAGAATTTCGTTTGCCTCCCCTGTTAAATGTGGATAAATTAATTCATAGTTAATTAAATGATAAAACAATTTTGACTAAAAGGGTATGTGAGCAAAAAAAAAAAAAAGAAACAGTGCTATAATTTTTAGTAATGCTTCCCGCTCAGACAAATTGTCTGGATTCAACACTGCTTCGTAGTACATTTGTATTCAGCAAAACTAATTTCGTACTTTTAGTTTTGATTAATCTACCATCAAACCTAAAGGTGTAATTACATTATCAGCCCGTGTATGCGCAGTTTTTCCGATATTTTAATATTCAAAAGATTATAATAGCGTTTTTAAATTGTGATGTTTCACCCACTCGTATCTCGCTTAAACAATGAAAATAACGATAAAAAAAAATAACCAACGTAAAAGGGGACAAAAAAAAAAAAAAAATGTATATGTAGCGACATCTTAATTGTATTAAAAATTTATAAATTGTTATCCACCTGTTTATACGGCTAAATGGGTCCGAAAGTCGACCGGCGACCGTATGTTCGGCAATAATAATATCCTGCAGTTTCCCGCAACCAACACAAATAAACACGCACGCCCACGCGTCGTTTTGTTATTGTTGTACGTCAAATATAACACGTATTGAAATAAGCAGGTATATTTTATGTTGTTATTATGTACAATTTATAACAAATACTTCGGGAGGAGGGGAGAAAGGGTGGGGGGGGGAGGAAATATGATATTAAAATATATACAAGGACCGATTACGTGTACGTTTGAAACAGCTGTTTGCATGACCCCGTGACAGAACGGTTACACGGGTAATTTGGAAAAATACGTGAGACGAGCGGGACGCCGAAACAACGTACAGGCAATTTTCACTGATATACCGAAGTCGAGAATCGGCGCTCACCAAAAGCGTATCATATGGCATATGGTTTGTCTGCGCGCGATTCACAGCCAAATCAATCGCAGACGTCGGGAAATATACATAAAACAAAGGACGAACGTATGGATTGTGTGCGTCTCAAAGCCAGATTTCCGAAATTCGACCCCTTAAATATGATCGACAGGGGGTTTCTTTAATAACGAAAATCGATTTATTTATTTAGTTTGGCGTTATGGGTGAAAAAAACAGATATTATTTGTGAACTCGGTTATTACAGACAGTAACTGTAAATTACCGAGTAATTTTTTTTTTAAAATAAATGTATTTAATAGTTATTATTTCAAGAGCTATATTAATTTTTAGTCTGTGTAGATGAATTTAAAAACGAGTATTTCTTGTGAAATCGTGAAATTTGAGCATACAAATGGTCAGAATTGAATATTGAAAACCTTAAAAGCTACTGATCTAAAAGTTCCTTGATGTTAATAGTGGATTGGTGGATCACCCCCCCCCCTTGGGATTTTTATCACATTTTCTCATCATTTATTAGAAATTATCTCCAATAAAATTTTCATATATTTTTCGTACAGATTAGAGTAGAAGATTTCCAAAACAAATAAAAAGGAGGAGATCAGTGTTTATTTCAGGGCGTGACGAGAAGTGTAACACAGAAAAATGTATTATACCCCCTGAAAACGTATAGCCTTACCAGGGCCGGATTTTATGGGTGAGCTGAGTGGACTGTAGTCCACAAATTTGGGCCCCCCAAAGTTTGTTATTACTTTATAGTTACAAATAATAATGAATGAATTTTTCGTATAAATTGATTAGATTAGCTCAGTCAATAACATCAACCATCAAGATATTATTTTTTGGACAATTCGGGCAGCGGAAAGTGAATATTTATAAATTACAAAGTAATTAATGGGTTAGAAAGTTTGTAGGCCCGGGGCCCCCACAGTA